AAAATGATGTATACATTCTCAAATCAATCTAGCTATACATAATGTGTAAAGAATATTTATTAAATATGATGAATAGATTCTCAAATCAATCTAGCTATACATAATGTGTAAAGAATATATATAAAAAATGATGTATACATTCTTAAATCAATCTTGCTGTACATAGTGTGTAAAGAATATATATAAAAAATGATTTATACATTCTTAAATGAATTTAGCTATACATAATATTCAAAGAATATATATATAAAAAATGAATTATACATTCTCAAATCAATCTAGCTATACATAATGTGGTAAGAATATATATAAAAAATGATGTATACATTCTTAAATCAATCTATCTATACATAATGTGTAAAGAATATATATAAAATATGATGTATACATTCTTAAATCAATCTAGCTATACATAATGTGTAAAGAATATATATAAAAAATGATGTATACATTCTTAAATCAATCTAGCTATACATAATGTGTAAAGAATATATATAAAAAATGATGTATACATTCTTAAATCAGTTTTGCTGTACATAGTGTGTAAAGAATATATATAAAAAATGATTTATACATTCTTAAATCAATCTAGCTATACATAATATTCAAAGAATATATATATAAAAAATGAAGTATACATTCTCAAATCAATCTAGCTATACATAATTGTTAAAGAATATATATAAAAAATGATGTATACATTCTTAAATCAGTCTAGCTATACATAATGTGTAAAGAATTTATATAAAAAATGATGTATACATTCTTAAGTCAATCTAGCTATACATATTGTGTTAAGAATATATATAAAAAATGATGTATGTATTCTTAAATCAATCTAGCTTTACAGAATGTGAAGATTATATATAGGAAATGATGTTTACATTCTTTATACATTATGTAAATTTTTTGAATATTTTGAAAATATTAGTTTTTTAATATCATCTAGTCTTTGTAGAAAGACATTTGTCTACCAACTAATCAGATTCAATAGAAATAAATTTACTTTTAATTATAAATTTTAAAATAAACTTAATATTATTCTAAAATAATGTAATTGTATATATAAGGTGTTATATAAGGTCACACTCTAGAAAATAAGAACAATAATTAACTGTTGTGAGACTCTTTCTAAAAAAATAGACTAAACCATAGATACCCAGAAACATGTTGTGCAGTAAGCATAGCATAAATATTTACTGAAATTTTAGAATTTCATAAAACGGACTCATAATCCATAAGAACATAAATACTCAAGTAAGAGTGGTATGAATTTTGTACTCTTCTTTTCTTATAATTTTTTCTTTTTAAGTATAAGAACAAAATAAACTTTATTTTATACCATAGAATATATAATTGATGTAATTAAATTTTAATTTTTTTAAATAATAAAATAACATTAATGATAATAATCATTCTGATTTTTATCTTTTGAGGAGTAAGATTAGATGTTTAAATTACATTTGAAAATAAAATAATATCTAAAAATAAGGTTCATAAAGTTTTACATGGTATAATCTATATTATCTAAATTTGTTTATAGAATTGCCTCTAATATGTGATGGATAGCCATATTCACTAGTATTTTTACTAAGATAAGTAGAACTATGTAGAAGGAAATAGAAATAGGTTTAATTGTTGATAACTTGTTGGAAAACTTCCTAATAGCTTTATAGACTTTACTCGTGTTTAAAAGTAATTGATAGGATGACAATTTGGCCACATATTGCATAATTAGCTACTTGTAATACAAGTTAGTCAAGTGGTGCATATATTAGGAACTTGCATTATAAATTAGAAACATGTCTTGTAAGTTGAACATGTGCTATGTGGCTTTTAGGACATTGACATGTAGTTCTTTAGTAAATAATATATAGAGAGACAAGAATAAGGCCTTTTTCTTTGTTGTTAATACTTTTTTTGTATTTTATCTTGGTTTAAGACTTCCTAGTCTTTTTGCATTTGGCAAGAGTAATCCTAATTTCAATTCTCTATCTATATTTTAATTATTTAGTTTCTCTCTTTTCATGATTTGAGAGTGTATTTTCATTTTTAGATTTTTGGTGTGGTTCATGTCCTTGACATAGTATATGTTTTAATCTTTATTGATATTGAATATTTTTTAAATTTTTATGAAATTAAAAATAGATAATCTTGATCATATAATTGCAACTAATAGATTCTTTGGGCCTTTACGATTCTTGCATGTATTAATTTTTTCTAATATAATCCACATATTGTCTTGTACATTTCTAGATTTTACATCAATTTTTTTAACATCAAATCATTTGCACATTTTATGATATTTCTTATTTAATTTTTTGATGAACATATCTAAGAAGATTCGTATATTTAAAAGATAAATAACCAAGCTATAACTTTCAAATATTTTGATTGGTTGAAATTAAAAATTCTTATTAAGTTGGCTTTGAACTAAATAAAGTCAATCTAAAAACCTTAAGAGGAAAAATAAGAGGTAGAATAGATTTTTTTTATATACATGGCATAAATAGAGAAATTTTCTTTACCAAGCTTGGAACTTTGTAAAACTTTTCTTCCAAACTCTTTTAAAATGGACTTCTACACATTAAGACTCTTCAAACTATGTTTGGAAACATTATGGAACCATAGGAAGGTTGACATAGAATTTTAAAGCAAAGGATTTGAAGACTTGATGGGCAAATAATGAATTTGGACCAGATAAGACCCATTTCAACTTTTTTTTTTTTCTTCTTTCTTTTATTTTTATAAATTTATTTATTTATTTATTTTCTTCCCCACTGATACTCTCTAAAGAAAGACAATGGCGTCAGCGAGTTCATGAAAGTTACTTCGACGACTTGTCTAATCAGATGTGGACTTGAACTGAAGATGCTGTGGCTGGAGAAACCTATTTTAAGGAGAACTTTTATTGAACTGTTGAAAAATAAGCGCAGTTGCTTGGTAGTCTGTAGGCGGTATAAGAAATGGAATAATCTAGTTCGTGTAAAATATTGCGACTTAAGGTTGACTCATGGCCTCAAAATGCACTATTGTGAATACCGTCAATGTAGAAGTCGATTTGATGTATTATTCATATCATTCTTACTGCACCCAATTGCGTTCATTGCATCAATTTAAACCACCTAGATGGTTGATTCTTGCAACAAATGGGCAAAATCTCCTGTGCGTTTTGATTCCAGTGGACAAGGTTATGCATCAATCAAGCCGTTACATTGCTTTATATCTACTGGAATCTACTGGTTATACTTGGCTGGTTTCATTATATCCACTGTTCATTGCTATTCCAGGAGGGTTAATTTACAAGGGTTAATATTTTTGAAATCTCCTTCATGCATTCCTATCCCAGAATTAATAATTGGAAATTGATTCCAGAGTTTGCAACTAAGTCTTCCAATCTCGAAGACTGAATCCTTCAACTGACGGCATCTGAATTTCGAAGCGTATGAACAAGCTCGCAGGAAACTCCCTCTGAGGCTGAATCAACGGTCAGGCAGGCTTGATGTGAACCTTTGGAACTGACCCCTAATGAGGACATTCTCAGCACAGTTTTGTCTCTGCCAGCTTCCGCTGCTTCGTCCAAATCCTATCACAGTCAATCGTTGCCTTTGGGTACATTGACAGCTCATTTGAATGCGATTCTCAAGCAGACTGTAGTTCTAGTACTGTTCAGTAATACAAGTTGTCAGAACCTCCTGATGGAAGTCGAGCAACCAATTGAAGCTCAAGCAGCCTTACGCAACTCAAGGTTTCTGACAGAGCGACTATTACAGTATAGAATTACCCCACATTTTTCTCAGGGATCCGGTGGGTTCATAGGGTGAAAGGACCAAAATGCCTCACGCAGCTCAAGGTTTCTCCCTGAAACAATATTCCGGGACAGCAACGCTCCACGTTTCAGACGGATCCGCTCTGTTCATCGAGAGTGATGACGTCAAATATGACAGAACAGCGACCTCGTGGGTTCCTCCACACCCTCCAGAATCAAGCTATGGTGGAGGAGAGGTTCAGAAAACAGACTTCGAAACAGAACTTGATTCGACAAGCAGAAACTGTACAGAACAGTACACAAGTTTGTTTCTTTGGACTACAACGATGTTGAGGTGTTTATTTTCCTCTTCTATGGTTCTTCATTAAGTTTATTTTTTAATATGTTTTAGTTATCAAATTTTGTGCAAATTAAAATAATGGTGTTTGAAACATAATCATAATTAAATAAAAATAAATAAAATAGAAAGTTTTTTTGATAGGAGTGTCAGACAAAGATGGAGCTCAAAATATTTTACAATACATTACAAAAAAGACAGAGCTCAAAACACATGGTACAACATGTATGATGCTCTCACCTACACCCTCAATTATAGAGTATGTAAAAATCAGACCCACAATCAACAATTCAGTGGATCTTCAACCAACGAGACCTTCGGGATGCAGCTCCTACCCAGTCTTGTTGACATCAACAGAGTGCAACCAAATCAGGACACAAACTGCATCCCAGAGAATAAAATAAATGTACATGAATAATTTGTTCTTCCCAAAGCAAGATCCAACCCCCCATTATTAAAACTCATTGAGGATGTAGCATTAACAGTTCTCTAAAAATAAAAGTGACAACAATGTTACATTGAGAAACTTGAATATTATAAAACAAAACCTAAAAAAAAAAAAAAAAAAAAAAAAACCCCAATTTCCATCAAAATATTTTTTCCATAAAAAAAACCCTTGCGAAAATGTTGCTTGAGAAAGAATTATATATATATATATATATATATATAAATCTCGAAGCAAGATCCAACCCAGTATGTCAAAGTTAATCCGCTAGATAAGGATAGTTTAAAGGGTTGTAAAATAGGGATGCTAATATCTTTTGGATTCATCCGTCAGCAACCCATATGTTAATTTCATCTATCGACGATGCTTCTCCCCTGTTTCAGTGCGGGTGCGGTGTCGTGTCATGCTCCGCGACTATATTTGGCGGATGTTGTCACAGAAATGCTTCGCCGTGATCGAGGTCTTGTCGTCTTTGCCAGTTCGATTATTTGATGCGGTGTCTTCCAGCGAATGGCTGCACCACCTCTTCTGTTTGTTTCTGTCAAAGTGGCTCTGAATTCCTTATTCGGTCGATGTCTTTCTCTCCCGATTCTGCCAGAAGCGGTGGCCCGCAAATCATACACTGATCGGCACGAGTAGGCAGCCGCGATTTGCTAGCTTACAAATTTTCACGGCTATTGTGGCCTGGTTTGATTCCAACTGGAGCTGACTTTGTTGGTTTGCGGTTGAAGAGAAAACAGGAAGAATTTTTGAGAGTTAGGAGATGAGTATAGAGCAGGAGTGGAGTTCGTGAGGTTGCCTGTGTTGTCCTGAGCTCTTTGTGTAGTTTGAATTATGATAGTTGTCTGTAATTTTTCCTGGCGGAACAACTTCTCCAATGGATTATGTTGCTTGAACTAACCTTCAGATAAAATTTCGCAGTTTCTTTACAATCCTTTTGGTTCGTTACTGGGCTTGCTATTCGGGTTGCGAGTAAGGATCATTGGTCATGCTTGTGAATTGTTGCCTACCTGATTTTTCTTTCTCGAGGCGACATGGTTTTCTGTTGTCATGAAGGATTTATTGCTGGGCTCCGTTTTCAAAAATTTTCATGAAGAAAAAGTAGAGGGGTTAGGCGATGGTCGCAGGTATTCGACTCCTTTGAGATGTGGTCACGACGTGGCTTGGAGTGACAGATACTCTGGTTTGAGATGGGATCCTCGCAATTAAGAGTGTTTTCTTCATCTGTCTGCAATTAGCTTATGTCAATTGTGGAGCCTTGAAGGAGGCTTTTGTAAGATCTACAGCTTTTTTGTAAGATCTGTAGATTTTCAATTTTTGAAGTGATGGCGGCGACACAATTTTCAGGTGAGTAAAGTCTTTCCTGATTCGAGCAACAATTCAGAACCATTACCCCCGTTCTTAACAATACTTCAACGACTACACGGAGCTGTTTTTCTTCAGCAAATGTTTGGGTGATGAGAAAGTGGACTTGCAATGTGTATTTTCCACTTTCATAATGTTATGTAGCGTGCATTGCGCAGACTCTGAATCATGCTCCCATGAGGCAATTGAGTGATAGATTCCGCCAACTTACCTTGTGCTCTAAACTTCACTTGTGTGTACTGGTTCTGCACAGAAATATGGGTGGCATTCCTGCGAAGCTTGAGTAATGTTCTCTCTGGGGAACATTTCCCTCGACCCGACGTGATAGACACGGATAATATTATTGCAGCTTTTATTAAGAATTCCTCTTTCCAGAATGTCTTTGTTTCAGGGCTCCATTTAATCTTTATTCTAATCCTATTAGCTATAATATTGGGGCACCGATCTAACCGCATTAATTCTGCAAGCTATAGGAATGAGTTCTTCAGTCCAGATTCATTCTTAGAATGGGTGTGCTTTCTCTCCACTTGTGGACTCGGTCTTTTCAGCTTAGGAGTAACTATGTGGTTACTGGCCTCAGGATGGATGGATCATCGACATATCCATGTGTTACAATGCAGTTTCTTTCTTGTGCAAGGAGTGGCATGTCTATCCCTGGCCTTCACAGTGAAAGTTCATAAAATACCTCAATACGAAAAACTAGTGCGAGTGTGGTGGATAGCGTCGTTCTTACTGGGAACATATGCTGCTGTTGCAGTAGTCTTGAAAATAATTGACAGCCAAAAAGTATCAGTTACAATGGTTTATAGTTTAGCCTCCTGGCCGGCGTATGGTTTCCTTCTGCTGCTTTCCTTACAAGGACAGAGCAAGTTGTCCATGGATCTCAAGAGTGAGGAGGATCCTCTGCTTTCGAGAAGTCACTCTGAAAATGGCACTGCTGAGGTTGGGGAGAAAGTTACCCCTTTCGCTACTGCTGGATTCTACAGCCGCATGAGCTTCTCGTGGCTAAATCCTCTTTTATCTAGTGGTTACAGGAAGCCTCTGGAACAAGCGGACATCCCTCTGCTTGGCAAGGAAGATGAAGCCCAGAAAAATTATGAAAAGTTCGCACAGGCTCTGAGGGACCAAAAAAGCAACAATAGGCAGGTTTCGGTGTTTTGGGCGTTGTCATCGTGCTATTATAAGCCGATGGTATACAATGGTTTATACGCACTGGGTAAAAGCATCACAGTTTCCCTTGGGCCTGTTGTGCTCAATACGTTTATACAGTACACTGCTGGAAAGCGGTTATTTCGGGGCGAAGGTATTGCGCTTGTGGTAGCACTGTTTTTTGCCAAATTCTTTGAGTCTGTTTCGCAGCGGCAGTGGTACTTCGGCAGCCGAAGAGTTGGATTGCAAGTTCGGTCTGCTCTAATGGCCGCCATCTATCAGAAGGATCTCCGCATTGCAAACGCGGGTAAGTCTCATGTTTGAGGATGCAGGTGATGAACCACTCAATACATGCATTTGCACAGTTGTTTGCGGTGGTTTGTCATGTGATAGTCGTGTCATATTAAATGGCTAGAATCAGTTGATCGGTACAACACAATAAACTGAATGTATAAAGAATGAAACGTGAGGCCTCAATGCAGTCATTGTGGTTTGTGCATGGCAACAGGAAGACAGAGACATGCGGCTGGCGAGGTGGTCAATTACATGTCAGTTGATGCGTACCGTATTGGAGAGTTTTTGTATTGGCTTCATTTTTCGTGGACCACTGCGCTTCAGATCTGTATTGCGCTGGTGATCCTTGCGTATGCCGTTGGATGGGCAACACTTGCTGGTCTTACAGTCATTATTGTGTCCATGGTTGTGAACACTCCATTGGCTCGATCTCAAAATGTGTATCAAACTAAGCTCATGACTTCGCGAGATGCATGTCTACGGACCACAACAGAAGCTCTTCGCAACATGAAGATTCTAAAGCTTCAGGTAACAGACAATGGAACTTGGACGTTGACGTCATGACGGCTTGATAATTGTTTTTGTATCTATGTTTAAATTCAGCAGATACATAGGTTCCGAAGGAGTCTCGAAGTGATGTTTGTTTTATCAGGAGAATGCAAAGTTGGGCGGTGCCTTGTTTCAGCTTTCATCGTTTGTTCAGATAAAAGAAATCTCTTGTTAGCTACTTTCTAAGATTCTTGTTTAATTATAGTTGAGGCGCTTAGATTGATACTTGTTAATATCGTCATTCATTTGCCATGTTTTTACAGGCATGGGAGGACAAGTTCAAGGAGCAGATATTGAAATTACGAAATGAAGAATTGATATGGCTATCGAAGGTCTTGTATCGAAGGGCTTATAATACCGTAGTTTTCTGGATGTCTCCAGTGTTTGTCTCAACCGCCACATTTGTAACATGCCTGTTTATGGGGACTCCACTCATTGCTAGCAACGTATTTACAGCTCTTGCCACGCTGCGGATAATCCAGGAGCCCATTAGATTAATTCCCGACTTAGTCGCTAACGCCATCCAGGTAATTAGTCTAGGGACTATCATTTCAGTAGCAATCGCTAAAGTAACAACATTGCGTAGATACTTATATATATATATATATATATATAAAGATGGCTCTGATAGAGTTCTTGTTTCTAATTGCATGTTGTCAGGTGCGTATATCGCTTGATCGTATCGCTAAATTCCTTCAAGAGGACGAGCTACAGCCTGATGCCGTTGTGAGAAAGGATCATTGGAAAACCTCAGACTACGCGATTGAATTCGAGGAGGCTACCCTCACCTGGGATCCAGATGTTGCAATACCCACCTTGAGGAACCTGACTGCAAAAATCAAGCATGGTCAGCGCGTGGCAGTGTGCGGAGCAGTAGGATGTGGAAAGTCCTCTTTCATTCAGGCCATCCTTGGAGAGATGCCCAAACTCTCTGGCTTGGTATGTAAGCAAACAAATAAGGTCATTTCTGTTTCTAGCAGTGGCCAGGAGCCAGTCACCTTAGCTATAAAAGTCCACACTAGTTTATTTAAATGTTTGTGGAAAACCTGACTAAAGGTATGGCCTTTTATTTCATCATAGAAAATTTGGTACTAAATTGGCATAAATTTCAGGGCTATTGATCATAGTTTTTTGATTGACCAATTCATACTTTGTGCAGATACGTGTGAATGGCACGGTTGCTTATGTTGCACAGTCAGCATGGATTCGAAGTGGCACATTTCGTGACAACATTTTATTTGGGAAGCCTATGGACAAAGAGCGGTATCGGAAGACATTGCGAGCTTGTGCACTGGATAAGGACATTGAGAATTTTCCTCATGGGGATCTAACAGAGATTGGGGAACGGGGTATGAACGTGAGTGGAGGACAGAAGCAGCGAATGCAATTGGCTCGGGCAGTGTATCAGAATGCTGATATTTACCTTTTGGACGATCCCTTGAGCGCCGTGGACGCCCACACTGCTGCTAGCCTATTCAATGTATGTTGCGCTGGTTTTTTATATGATTAGCCTCTGAGTGTTGATTAATGAATTCCTTATCTAGTGTGTCTCATTAACTACACATGTCACTGATACCTTAATCACATAATATTTTTAGATTCAAAAGGTGCACTCCATCTGATGAGCTCTCTTCAATATGATCTTAGATATTATTAATGACTAAAGGGCAATCAATACGATCCTCACAGGGTTGCATCATGGACGCTCTGGAGGGAAAGACAGTGATCTTGGTCACACATCAAGTAGAGTTTCTCCCAGCTGTGGATTCTATACTGGTAAGAAATCTTGTTCGTGGTTTTGGCGTAGTAAACAAAGCATAGCCTTGCATTGGTTTTGAAATTTACAGCAAAAATGAGCTATTAGTGTTGGTCGAACTTGTTATTGCTTCTACAATGATAATTAAAATCTATCTTGGTGATATATTCCTACAACAGTTGCTGCGAGACGGAGAAATTTGGCAAGCTGGCCATTACAATGAACTGAGAAGCGAAGGCACAGCCTTTGAGGAGCTTGTCACGGCTCATGAAGAGGTAATGGGCGGAATGTCAGAGAACTCAAGTTTAGAGCACAAAGCCACTGCTCAGAATTCAGATAAAGAGCAACTGCAGAAAATGCCTAGTCGAAGTCGGTCTAGGAGAGAAGAGGACGCTATTCAGCTGGCTAGAGCTAAGCAGAACGCTTCACAACTGACGGAGCAAGAAGAGAAAGAGATTGGTAGCACTGGATCAAAAGCATATGTGGACTATCTAAAGCAAGCCAATGGATTTTTGCTCTTATTTCTTTCGATCATCACCCAACTTGTCTTTGTACTGGGACAAGTGGCTTCGAACTGGTGGATGGCTTCCAACGTGGATAATCCAGCAGTGAGCAATGCCAAGCTGCTATTTATCTACTCTACGATTGCACTCACCACCGGATTCTTCGTCTTCTTTAGATCTGCCTTTCTTGCCATGTTAGGTGTGGAAGCCTCGCGGTCATTTTTTGAAGGGATGATCAGCTCTTTATTTCGTACCCCCATGGCATTCTTTGACTCAACACCAACTGGCCGAATCCTCAGTCGGGTATGCGTAACATTCTTAAGTACTTGAACCTCTATATTGGCTTGTGAGGAGTTTTAATCAACTACATGGACTTTGTGCCTTGTCTAGATAAACAAAATGGAGATGAGCACATCAAAGTAGACATCTGCATATTCTTGTTCTGCTTTATGTTTTATCTGAGATGACCGTGTGATTTAACTGTCATTTCAGCAATTTCTCTGCACTAGTGTGATCTGATATGCGAATTGCAGGAAATGAATGTTGAAGGAACACTGTCATTATGTTTTGAAATTTGATGCAGGTTTCCTCAGATTTCAGTATTCTGGACATGGATGTGGCTTTCGCATTTGGTTTCTCTATCGCGGCCTCCATGAATGCGCTCACCAATGTAGCCGTCAACACTTCCATAACCTGGCAAATCTTGTTCATTGTCATCCCATTTATATACGCCGCCCGAAAATTACAGGTGAAATATTCGTTTACGCTCTAAAGATTAGAAGTCTTATCAGTTAGTAGACTTTCTTACTTGTTGAGGGATTTGCTCGTAACAGATTGTAGGTTTTTGCGAGTACATTCAGTATTGTTGTTTGTCAAGTTTAATGTCTTTGATCAATGTTACGAATAACGAACCTATACCCTCCTTGCGTGCTGAGGGCCATACACATGCTGATGTTGAACTTTACCCCAATACAGCTTTATTACTTGGCATCTGCCAGGCAAATTATGCGGATCAATGGAACAACTAAAGCACCAATTGTGAACCACTTCGCGGAGGCCATCGCCGGAGGATCGACAATTCGTGCGTTTAAGAAGCAGGCTGACTTCGCTGTGGAGAATTTGAGTCTCATTGACGCTAATGCTAGCCCCTTTTTCCATAGCTTTGCAGCTATTGAGTGGCTCATACTTCGTCTCGAGTTCCTCTCAGCAACCGTTTTAGTAGCATCTGCACTGTTCATCGTTCTTCTACCCGAGGGTCACATCAACCCAGGTTAGTGTCAAGCTGTCAACTATTAGTTGGATTGTGAATAATTTGAGGTTCCAGCGGTGTTGTTAGCATGTTTGATCATCCTATTCATGTCTATCAAATTTTTGAACAAGACGTTCGCTAATGTTTCGACTTCTGAATAGTTGCACCTGGGTTTGGAATGCAGGTTTCGCTGGTATGGCCATCAGTTATGGTCTATCTTTAAATATTTCTGTCGTCTTCGGTGTCCAGCATCAATGCAATCTTTCAAATACAATAATCTCAGTGGAAAGAATAAAACAATACATGAACCTTGTCAGTGAAGCTCCAGCTGTAATCCCTAACAAGAGGCCTTCTTTGCATTGGCCAAGCACTGGCAGGGTTGAGCTTGAAAATCTACAGGTAAACCCTTCCTCTATACTCCATGACTTCGTCTTCGAATTATTCATATTGGTTTGACTTGTGCAGTTTCTTTGTCCCAAGCTACACTTGTTAATGCCTTTTTCATATCTATCCTGAAAATGTTTACATTTCAGGTAAATGCTATGTCGATTTCCAGCTTTTCTGCATACAGGTCGAGCTACAAAAGAAGCCGGAGTTGCGATCTTAGAAAATTGTTAGCACTAAACATGTGAATGTTGTAACAAAAGTTGACGAATAATGTTCTAATGCTACCATAATTCTCTTGAAGTTCCTTTGAAGCATTTGTGGATTACCTTTCGTTATGAAACCAAATTTTCAATTGTCATGACACAGGTTCGATATCGCTCAAACTCGCCTCTAGTTCTGCGTGGCATCACGTGTATCTTCCAGGGAGGTCAGAAGGTGGGCGTTGTGGGTCGCACAGGAAGTGGCAAAACAACTCTCATTGGTTCCCTCTTTCGACTGGTGGAGCCAGCGGGTGGAAGGATCTTGATTGATGGCATTGATATTTCAACCATTGGCCTTCATGATTTACGCTCACGCCTTGGAATCATCCCACAAGAGCCTACATTGTTTCGAGGAACTGTCAGGTTCAATTTAGACCCTATTGACGAACACTCTGACGCTGAAATTTGGGAGGTAAGATTATTATTCTTTTAAACCGCAGTCTTGGGTACTAAATTTCATACGAAGTGCACAAATAATTTGAGCTCCAAATCTGTCATCATTTCCTACTTTCCATTAGATTTTCCATTTGGAGTTGTTTTCAGAGTACTGATGAATTGATTCTTCCGTTGCCTTCAGGCCCTTGACAAATGCCAGCTGGGTGACATCATACGAACAAAGCCTGAACGACTAGATGCGCTAGGTGATTGAAGGAATCACCATTGTAGTCGCTACGTGTGATAAGAACGTTTTGACATTCAAAAAAAAAAAAAAAAAAAGAAAAAAAAAAAATCTCATGTTATCATTATCTAGTTTGCATTGAACTATCTTAGCATTTCTCAACAGCTATGGATACTGAAGGCAATTGACGTGCTTTGTAGTTGCGGATGACGGTGAGAACTGGAGCGTCGGCCAACGACAACTCTTTTGCTTAGGACGAGCTTTACTAAAGCACAGCCGTGTCTTAGTGTTGGACGAGGCAACTGCTAGCATTGATAACAACACAGACGCGATACTGCAACGCATCCTGCGCCGAGAATTTTCAGACTGCACTGTTGTAACTGTGGCTCACCGCATCCCTACTGTTATCGACAGTGATGCGGTCATGGCCCTTCATGACGGTTAGTTTTCTTCTTCCCAACACTCTCTTTTCAGAAACCTCTCTCTATCCACTAATCACCGTGTTATTTACAATACAAACTTTGTAATCTATCTTGAAAGATGTTGCATTTCTTCAAGAGCTACATGCTCCAAGCGTCAGGACTAATTCCGTGATTTGCTGATGGAGCTTCAACACTGTCAAAGGATATCCATTTGCACAACAGTGACGATGTTTCCTCGATTTGTTTTCTTGCTATCTGTGTTCGCAGGTAAAATGGCTGAATTTGACGAACCGAAGAAGCTGTTGGAGGATCCCAGCTCTCTGTTTGCCAAGCTTGTTGCTGAGTATTGGGCCAATATCCACCACTGAGGTAAGAGTTTTGTAGGAATTGATTCTACAACATATAACAAGTTTGTGGACATTTTAGATTGAACAGCTGCCACACTACTGAAGACTACCATGCTGCTCCCGTGAATTGATTTAAGAGCTCTTAAATCACTTAAGATATATTCTCTGCATATGTTTCTACTTTGATTTGGTTAGGTGACAAATTTTGCCTCGCAAAATGTTGAAAATGTTGTTGAAAATCACTCGACTCATCCAGTTTTAAAACTTGCAAACGATGGAACATGTTTCCATTTTGGTATTCTTCACACTATCAGTATATGTATGTGAGGAATTAAATTTTGAATAAAAGTAATGGTTACTCACTTTCATTTTCAGTCAGAAACTTCATTTTGAGTGCCTTGATGATTTTATGCAGACAGTTAGACCCGTTAGACAGATATGATAGTTGAAACTATCTGTTCATTTTAAAAACGTATAGTATTCATACTGAAACATGGAGATTATGTACTAGTTTGTTGCAACATTCACAATCACACTTCCAACTGTTGTGACGATGTACTAGATCGATTTGTGGCAACATGGCAAGGGCAGTAGGCTGGTTATAAGGATGAAGACTGTTTAAGCGACATCCTACAAATAATGGCGAACATATATCTCCATCATGAAGTCATTGCAATATTCATAATTACATGGACCATCTTCACCAAAATGCAATGTTCGCGGTCGGCGTTGCTTCAAGTTTCAATCACCTTAGGCACCGACTCTTGAGACATAGGACTTTGATATAAATCTAGGTTACATATGAAACTACACCATACACTCTAGAAAGGTCCAACAGGTTTAGGTGCGTCTCCCTTGGATATCCCTTACAACTGAGTCGGAAGTAGATGAAAGGTTGTTTTATCTCCGCATCTCGTCGCTTTCAAAGATAGAGTGGAATCATCACGGGTGCCTACAAAAACAATCACAGATGCGCAGGACAGTGTCACCGTGTATTAAGTGTAACACACACGGATCAGGTTGTGCACATCGATAATGAATACACAAGAGAGTTGTTGATCATCTTGTTCGACAAGCGATCCTGGTCTACATAATCAATTTACCAACGAGTAATACCACACACATGTACGGTCACGTGTGTTAGCACATCTGCATGACGAAAATGAATGGCAACGATAAACTTCACAAATCATCAAACGTTACGCGCTAAAGCATGGTTGTCTTCAAGCAAGCAACAATCAACGACCTCGGGTAAAAGCGTCGAAGAATGAAATCAGTCTAACGATGTCGAAGTAGGCTAAATTTCAGGAAAATGATGGTGTTACAAAACACCAATTAATTTGAATACGGAAACCACTTGACTCAAGCTCTTTCACCCCTGATACGGCGAGCCAGCTGGATATCCTTCGGCATAATGGTTACACGCTTCGCATGAATTGCACACAAGTTCGTGTCCTCGAACAGACCAACCAAGTACGCCTCCGAAGCCTCCTGCAACGCCAACACTGCAGAGCTTTGGAACCTCAAATCCGTCTTAAAATCCTGCGCAATCTCACGTACCAAACGTTGGAACGGCAATTTCCGGATAAGCAACTCCGTCGACTTCTGATACTTCCTAATCTCACGGAGCGCCACCGTCCCCGGCCTGTAACGGTGAGGCTTCTTGACACCTCCAGTAGCAGGAGCAGACTTACGAGCAGCCTTGGTGGCCAGCTGCTTGCGAGGCGCCTTGCCTCCCGTAGACTTACGAGCGGTCTGCTTAGTACGCGCCATCCCTGCACGAGTTCAACTACTAAAACAACGCTCTAATCAACCAACTGCAAGAGAAACAAGACCGTTCAGAACAAAAGCGTAAGCAAAGATAACTGCATACTCAGTGTAGCAAAGTTGATATAGGAGAAGGCAAGAGCATTAGAAAGTCACAGCTTGCAGAGGAAGCAAACCAGGCGCGCGAGGGAAAACGAAAACTTGAGTTCGGCGGGAACAGTTTGAATCTCCCGCCACACATTAATGGGGATGGGAAGCGCGCCTCTTCCACGGTCATAGGGGTATGTAGACCCTCCAAGAATTCATGGTGGAAATGTCAGGAACCTTGTAGAATGTTCGATTTGTTGACATCATTTGAATTCTCGCATTTGAATGATCTCAAATTCTTTTAGTTATTTTCTGGACCCAAACCTGAATGTGGATAAATTGCACTGTTTTCAACATTAAGGATGCTATTGATACATTTTCAATTTTTATGTAAATATAAATTAAACGTAGCAATTTATGTAAACAATAAATAATGGGGAATATTAGGTAGACACCTCCCTTTTGATGTGTGGATATCTTTCTTTTACTGCATAGACATTCTTGTGTGCCTCACTGACAATACACCGCTGCTACAAGTTTTTCAATAAGTTGGATATTAATGAGGTTGAAAGGTATAATAACAGCAACAACAATAATAATAAAGCATTACTAATGTAAAAGCTAACCAAAACAACCAAAACAAATTAACAATAATAAAAATAAATAAATAAAAATTATATTTAATTAACTTCTGAATATATTTTAAGTTGTTTAAAACAACTTAAGGATTTTGAGCTTATAATTTTACACCATAAGAGGGACCAATAATTTTATTGAATAAAAATTATTAAAAATATTCATATGTGATATAATATAATGATCAATAATATTTTTTTAATAAATATACATAAATATAATTATACATATAGATTTAATAAAAGTATATAAAATATATTTTACTAAATATATAATTGAATTTGTATTTTATATTTTTACATGCAAGAAGAGATAAAAAATACTTGTGAATAAATAATCAATTGTATAATATTTTTTTGTTTTTGAAAGAAAAACAGAGTTTATAAATTTAATTTACAAATTATTTTTTATTGTAAATAAAATAAATTTGTTCATACTTTTGTTGAAAAAAAAAGTAGAAGATATAATCAATAAAATATATTTTAAAATAATTAGAATTCTTTTATAATTTAACCATCATATTATTATTTTTAAATAATTTATCATTTGTATTAATTATATATTAAAAAAATATTATGTTTGGAGCTATTATTGTCTCTTATAAACTATAATATATAACAAAATAGGCAAAAATAATTATTTAGAGATTTTTAATATTCTAAGGTTATATAATTATTTTTAATTTTTATATGTATATATAGAGGCTGTTACTTAACTTTTTTATTTAATGTTATAGAAGAAAATAGGTATGCAAATGGCCATTGAATACATTTTACATAGAGTAATAACAAGCCTAAATTTGTGTCAATGAAATAAAATATGTTATTACTCTAAACCTATATGTCAATGAAATAAAATTAATTAATGGCAATAAAAATGATATATATATATATATATATATATAGTTTTTAAAGCCACACCTCAATTTTGTTAAAACCACACCTCCCTTTCCACCTTATGATTCATTTTTATACATGACCCTTATCCTAGCCCTCGTCCCCACTTTGTCCCGACCCCTCCCTTGCTCCTATGCACATGCTTGAGGATGGTGGTGTGGAATAATTAGGGTTTAGTAGGTTTTCCATAGTGTAAGAGTGGTTACAGTAATCAAGTACAATGGAAGTGTTAAGTGAAAATTAATTTGGAGATTAAAGTAAATTTGTTCATTATCTTTTTTTGTCCATATATATATATATATATATATATAGTCTAATATAGAAAGTATTTTTACAAAAATAGATGATAAAAATTTAACCATAATTTTTATAGTTTTAAATATATATGTGGTAGACATGCACGTATTATTTGTATTAATTTATCTAAATATGAATATATTTTATTTTATACATTTTAAATACCAAATTTAAATATTCAATGACAAAACATACAATCTTTTTAAAAAATAATTTTTATATTGGTATCAATTGCAAAAATTAAATTGCATTGGTCAAAGGAAATTTTTATTGATTACAAAATTTACTGTTAGTTTCATTAAGTATTAAGATAAGTATATATAATTGCATAAAAATAAAAATAAATTTATATGATTTAAATATTATAATTACTTGAGCTCAAAGTCTAGAGATTTATTAGACTTTAAATAAAAAATTTAATTTCGTATTATAATCACCTAAAAATAAAAAAAAGTTACAACGAGTCATTGAAAATTTAAAGAAAAAGCTTTTAATTTTGAAAATTGTGCGAATTAAAGAAACTTTAATCTCTTTTTTATTTTTTAATCTCTTTTTTATTTTTTTATTAATAGTTAAATAATATTACAATGATGTCTTTGATTAAACCACAGGTTGTGCATGTCAATAAATAAATTAATTTTAAGATTTCTATTCTTTTTTCCTTACTCTAGCCAAAAGTTCTCCGTGCTAAAAAAGAAAATTGTTACACAAAATATGTACAAAAGTTGTATTCTTTCTAATTATTCTTAATAAGAACAATAATTACTTGAATATTTCACTTTCACTTCCAAATTAGTTTTCACTCGACACTTCCATTGCATTTGATTATTGTGACAACTCTTAAAAAGCAAGGACAACAGATTCTTTTACTATTAATTAGTCAAATGAAAAGTGTAAAGTTTGATGTAAATTAGAATGCAACTTGAATGCATATTAATGCTGCTATTGTTGAAAAAAAAAATGCTGTTGTAAAGAAAACCTCTATTATTGAAATCTTATCTTAATTGTGACACTATGAAACATGATATGTAGTTTTGATCCCTGCATATTTTTTTGATCGGTAATAGTTGGAGGATCATGGTGTATTTTATTCAATTTGACAAGGATTTGTATGATACTGTTTGCTTTATGTATCTACAAATAGTATAATAAACTCCAAACACCTACAATTTAAAAAATATAATGTAATAAAATCTAGTAAATAAACTGATGCATGCTGATTGCAAGTAATAGGTGACATATTTCAAAATATTGCTTAAAAAAATAGAAAGGAAAAAAGAAATATATTGTTATTACTAATCTAAAACATATATTGAATGCTAGAATTGGAGATGTTGAGTTTTAATTGGAAGAAAAAATCTAATTTAAAAACTAAATTTGTATAACAACATGTATCTTGATCTTTAAAATTAAAAAGTCTATTTCCTTAGCATTCATTCATTCATTCATTCATATATACATATATATATATATATACTGACAACCGAAAATAACCACCAAAGTCACATTATGCCATCTAATTTTAATAATAATGATAAAAATCAATAAAAATATGTTCACATCTTTTGCAAATAAAGTGCCCAATGCATCACTTGACTCATAGAACCACCTATAACTTTCTCGGTGATTTGTTCGGCATCATAAAGCTTCTTCTTGAATTTTATGGACTACTTGTTTATTTACTTCTAATAAACATTTTTTCATCTATGAATTTTTTTTTAAAGATAAAACATGTGGCAAAAAAATTAACAATAGAACACAAGATTTAATTTATTTAATAATTAATATGTAGGAATTTGTTGTTTTTAATAAAAATATCAGATCATGGCTTTATAATTCTTTAATTAGACATTATGATAATATTAAATATTTAGTAATTGAAACAGTGTTTTTAACATGATTTGATTTTCTATCTTTATACAATGTATTCAGGACGATTTTCTTTTTCTTTTTCTTCTTTTAATTGGATATTGGTGATATTATTTTTATTATCAATTGCTCAAGTATTCAAACCTTCTAAGTAATTAATGATTTACATACTACTTAAAAATCTATTTCTAAATCTATGCTTGGATTCTATATTTAATATTTTTTTAAAAAATTCTCCAGGCATGCAAAAAGCATGATCCAATAATAAAATAAACGTAGAAATGTTTTTGAAAAAAATAAAGATATAATTTTAAATAAGAATAATGTGAAGCAAAATATAATTAAATTAATATTAATTAAGCTAGTATGTATTAGGTTAATGTATTTGCAAATCCATCATTTTTATTATTATTTAAAAGCAGAAAAAGAAAAAGAAAATAAGAAAGAAATAGAGAATGATTTGTAAACCCACATGTTCAAACAACATTATAAAGAATTTCACCTTTTATACAAAGATGAACTACCTAAAATGTTGGTAGAGGGGGCCAACTGGAGTTGCTAATATAATAGCTTAAAAAGCCACAATTATCATATTAGATAATTATTGCATTGACAAAAAGAAAGAAAAATAAAAAATAAAATACACATAGTTGAAAAAATAAAAAAGAAATAGTAAATGGAGGAATTTAATTTGATAACTAATTTACAATATAAAGTATACACTTGAATGTTTAAAATAACAACTGTGGTTCAATCAATACTATCAACTTTTGGAAGCAAGAGATCAAATACTTGTAGTTTACGATGCAAAAATTCCCACCATTTTGTTTTCTGTAGCACCAGAAAATGCCATCCGTTGTTGTCAATTGGTAGAGCACATTTGAAGCTCGTCGGTGTGGTTCGAGGATTGCAAATATATGTTCGAAGAGGAACAAGGAGTGATACGTTTATTTGAAGTTTTTCGAGGGGAGTTTTGTTGCGGAAATTGAATTGTAGGATGAGAGGAGGATTATGGCAGATGCGATGGCCGGTTGTCATGTTTTGAGGAACGTGAAGAGCTCATCGTTGCTGCTGCTACTGCAGTTTCAACATGTCAAGGGAAGGAGACGCGAGAGTTGCAAAGTGAGGATTGTAAGTGGCAGATTTCGAAGCTGCTTAACAATCGGGCGTGAGAGGAGGAGCGCTCTTAAGTCGTCGGAAGCTGTCACTCTGCTCCTGATTTCTCAGGTATGCCTTCTTTGTATCTTCGACTGAATTTGAGTTTATCCGGCAGCGTTGTCTTACACACACAAGTTAAGACATACATTTAAGTGCAATCGATTTGTTCTTAATTTCCGTAGGAATCGATTTCACGAAAACTTCGTTTAACAAGTATTCAGAGTTTTTTAGACCTCAACCTTTCTGAATTGGCCTGCTGTGTGTGTATATTAAATGGGAGGAAGTCCACAAGTAATGACGCGAATTTAATGCACGAAACGTGAAGAGAAATATTTGATAAGAGTTTAGTAGATGGATGAGGTCTTTTGTAGTGTCGTCAAACTACCCCGATTCTACGATGGAACTAGCAGAATCAGTATTAGAGGATGGGTAAGCGGGAGTCCATTCTCGTGTTGAAACTGGTTTTTGGAGCTTGGGGTTGATTATGCGGCGTTTGGAATTTTTGTTTGGTTGTGGAGGGAGCAGCTCCGTGGGATACAATCGTTGTCAACCTCAAGACACTCCTTGTGCCGGAGAGGACATGCACCCCTGAATAATGTTGTAGCCAGGGATTTCTATTCACCTGAGGATGGTGTGTTGCTAACACCTTATAAGTGATTTCCTCGGAGCTCAGCGATCCCTTGATTTGTGTTTGTGTCTCGCTGATCAATCACAACCTCTAGAGAGAATGCAGAGATTGATGTCTTGTTGCTTTTAGTTGACAGTTTGATACGCCTAAAGGTTCATGCAACGAAATTCTTTACTGCAACTTTTGATGATGCCGCTTAGATTGGATCATTCTAGTCACGACTGCACCAAATGGTTGTTACGAAGTCGGAGCTCATTCGCTGCTTCTCATAAATCATTCCAGTGATATGCTATTGTGTTGAAAAGTTGCTTGTTTTGTTTTTTGTTTTTTGTTTTTTTCTATTCCTGATAGCTTTCGTTGAATTCATTGATAAGCGTTACAACAGAAAAAAACTCTAATTGTTTGCTCTGCTGGCGGTTAGTAGTTTCTTGGTGGTTCGTAAGGATCTTCTCCGCCGTGACTTAGAGTCTGCCATTAAGGATTTGCAGGTACGCTTGGTGACGATATGAGGTTTCCTCTCTTTCTCTCTCTCTCACATCCAGACATACATACATATATACACACACACACACACATATATATATATATATATATATATATTTTAGGGGACATAAATATTTTCAGGCTGTGAAGGACCAGAACTAGACATACATACATATATACACACACACACACACATATATATATATATATATATATATTTTAGGGGACATAAATATTTTCAGGCTGTGAAGGACCAGAACTGCTGATTATACAATAATCCTGCAACTTTTTTCTATTCACTTGAGTAGTGCATGCACCAGTTCATGATGTGATGAAGCTCCGATTTGGTCTTATGTACTTTTAGGATCAAGTGCGTAGTGGGGAGGCTTCTTCAGAGGAATTCTTTGAGCTAGGGGCTGTAATGCTGCGAAAAAAATACTATGTTCTTGCAAACAAGTATCTGGAGCAGGCGATCAAGAAATGGGATGGTGATGAAGCCGATTTGGCTCAGGTTTGATTTTTAAAAATTTTAATCTTAATTCTTTTTGCGTGACACATTTACTCCTACCCAGTTTTATAATTCTTGTATCGATTCAATGTCAATGTCATCAAAAGAAACATACAGAGCTGCTGAAAGATCTTCACTACCTATCAGGTGAAGTCTTCCGATTCGGGTTGTGCATTAGTCGAGGAAATGAAACAACTGGAGAGAACATTGTTGTTCTTGAAAAGAGTTTTGTAATAATCTTCTAATATTGAAACAGGATTAGTGAGTGTCTTCCAAGAGTTTTAGGTGGCACTTGAATAATGTTATTGAGCACCTTTTTCACAAAGTCTCAGCTCCGTTTTGGAGTTTGCAGGTATACAATGCATTGGGCTTCAGCTACTTCAGAGACAACAAGCTAGATGAGGCCATCAACCTTTTCGAGAAGGCAGTAAAGCTACGACCAGGGTATGTTATTGCATGGTACAACCTGGGAAACGTTTATGAAGTTAAGAAGGACTTCAAAAATGCTTTAAAAGCTTATGAGGAATCTTTGTTATTCGACCCAAATAACAAGATTGCTCAGCGACGACGTGATGCTATAAAAGAACGGGTTGATAGGTTTCGAAATATCCCTGACAAAGATTAATCCCTGCCAAGTCTCTGTGATTCAGGATCCTTAGATTAGCGAGTTTTTTTGCTTCGTTCTTCCTCGGCCACTAGCCTCGTTCGTAACCTCCATTCACTGTATCACTTTAGTGACTAGTTTCTTTCCTTTGAGATCTCTTCCGGTCAGTACGCACATCTAGCATAGAGTAGGTAGGACTGCGAAGGCACTTGGAATTGTCAAGAAGGTGGCCATTCAAGGTCTTTCGAGGCAAGACTGTATATGCGTCCTGAAGGGACGTATAATTTTGTAAGAATCTTTTTAACTGGATCAATCCCATAGAATTCCTCTGAATGTCCGTTGGCAAGCGCACATGCTTATCATTTTGGCTGAGCTGACCTTACAAGGAGTTTGAATCTGATTGATCCATAACTCTGGTGCAGATATTCACGCTATAGCAGCATCGAATTCTATCAGTGCACGTTGCGGCCGGCAGATCCAAAGAGACCTCGCTCTCATCCTGACACAGTAAATTCAGAGCATATTGTTAACGTTAATATGAATTTCCTATCAATTGATGGCCACCCACGTTGTTCGCCGCAATGTGTTGAGAAGTTGTAGAACCAGCACCCCATAAATTCCCACTTTGTGACAAAAGTAGTGCAGGACTAGGTTAAAAAAGAGATATACCCAAAACAGAAGGGGGCCTCAGCGAGTATTCAGGCGAGGTGGCGTGTTTTGGGCCCTTGAATCAATACGTGCAACTTATGCATCTCTTTAGTTCCTCCGCTTCTCTGTTGCTCACTCCCGTCTTTGAGCACTCCACCATCTCCAGTTGTTTCTTCCTTGACTCGTCGCTGTTAGATTGCAATGACTACAGCGATGGCGTCCTCGGCTGCACTGACAGCTCTTGCGAGCGGCCAAGAAGTTCTTCGGGTCTGTTACCATCCCCGGGTCCTTCTGTTAAATATTTTTGACAGTTAGATTTTTGTTAGGGCGGCGTTGGCTTCTGTTTGCGATTTTGGGTTTCTATGGGATTTTTGCGTGTACTTTACTGAAATAAATATTCTGATATATTGGATAGCTCTGCTACTATCGTGGTTATTAAGAAGCTGTACGGTTTTGTTGGATCAGTATCGATGAATACGTAACGTTCCAATGATATTGTCATGGAGATCTGGGCATGTAGTGAACAGAGAACCTCGTGTTTGTTGAATACTCTGGTTAGGTTACAATTATACGTTTGTTTGAGTTCATCTAGGATTTGCGATTGCGCACTTCGTTGCTAGGTATTTGCACCGATCTCTTGATGTAGTTATCTAACCTGTTCAATTTTACGATGAATAGAGTGGCGTTACGCAGAAGTTCTCTGGCCTTAGGGTTGCCGCTTTCCCTCTGAAGAAGGACAACGTCGCTCTTTACGTTAAGGTAAAGGGAAGTTTCTGCACTTTGCGTTGTTTCAGAAACATTCTCTCTCGAGTAGTTTGTCAATTGATTGTAAGGTTTGCAGAGTTTCGGTGGCCATGTTTCTGATTTGAGGAGTTTTTTCAAATAGCCGTTTGATATTCTGAGTAGCAACGAATCTGGTGGTAGTGGTATCTTTCCTGCTTAGTTCCGACGGTGTGACAATCCTGGAGTTGCTCATATGCTGTATTACTCATCCAGGCAATTGCTAATGTGTCAACACAGGGCAAGTCAACGTCAGTCATGTCGGTTGCCACTGATGTATCTCGATTCGAGTCAGTAACCATGGCTCCTGCGGACCCCATCCTGGGAGTTTCAGAGGCTTTCAAGAAGGACAACAGCGAGAAGAAGCTGAACTTGGGAGTAGGTGCTTACCGAACTGAGGATCTCCAGCCCTATGTATTGGAGGTCGTTAAGAAGGTAAACAATATCTGCTTGGCAATGTACCACATACCATCCTTCAGAAAGTGCCACTGATTCAAGTCGTCTCAAATACAGCTTCTCCTATTGTGCCACTTTTGCTCTCTGAGCGAAGCATTAACCATCAGGCTCAGGAGTGTTTAGAAGGTATCTGATTCTTTCAATCTTTACAGGCTGAGAAGAAAATGCTGGAAGGTGGCGACAACAAAGAGGTACTTTTTCATTGTTTCCGTACATTTTAAATTATCGTAATCCTGATTACTCCATTTACAATTATTTCAGACTTTGATTATCCAGTTTCCACGGTGAAGTATATTTGCATGCTTTCTTAATGCTTTCATTTTCTTCTTACGTTAGCGGTTGATTCACTCAGACCTCTAAAACTGGTTCTATGTAATTCTTGTGGTGTGCAGTACCTTCCCATTGAGGGACTTGCTGCTTTCAACAAGGCTACTGCAGAGTTGCTATTGGGAGCCGACAACGCCGCCATTAAAGAGAACCGGGTAAGCGTCCTCAGTTGTGATGATGTGGTTTGCAAATTCCTAATATCTTGGTTCCATTATAAATATTGTTCCAATGGATGTGTAATTTGAGTCATTTCATTGGGTTTTGCTCGAGAAGAAATGCCGTGTCATTTGCTTCGTTGGCTAGATATGGCTCTATCAATTATGCATCTGTACATGTAGTACCTTTGAATTGGCTAGCGGTTTGTATTGATCTCTAGGTTGCCACCGTCCAAGGCCTTTCTGGTACGGGTTCTCTTCGCTTGGGTGCTGCTTTCATTCAACGTTACTTCCCTGGCATCACCGTTTACATCTCTTCTCCAACTTGGGGTAAGACAAAGATTTATTATGTTTCAATTTTTATAATTTTTGACGTAAAATTTATTTGTGGAGAATTCTTTTCCAAAATTTTCTCTATTGTTCTGATGCATCTACTTCAACAGGAAACCACAAGAACATATTTAATGATGCTGGTGTCCCATGGAAAGAATACCGCTACTTTGACCCCAAAACTGTCGGCTTAGACTTCGATGGCATGATGGAAGACATTGAGGTAGAAGCCAAACTTAGATCTTAATGACGTCAAGTGTGTTCACCATATATTTGATAGCAGCGATTTACAGCAGTATTCCTTTATTGAGGACACACTATGGCTTTGAAATTGTGCAGAACGCACCTGAGGGTTCAATTATATTGTTGCACGGGTGTGCACACAACCCAACTGGCATTGACCCAACACCAGACCAATGGGAGAAGATTGCTGATCTTATTCAGCAAAAGAACCATATGGCATTCTTTGATGTAGCTTACCAGGTAATTTCCTCTTTCCATTTACGCATATCATTGCAGGAAACATGATCGGCTTCGATGTCTGGATGGCTAATTAGTGTTCTTCAGTTTAATTAGTTGTGACGACTTTTTATCAAGTCTCATTGAGCCACATGAGAAACATGAGTGACTTACCAGTGTTCGAGGATTCATTTGTCGTCGGATGGTACACCAGGGTTTCGCCAGTGGGAGCCTGGATGACGATGCTAGTTCCGTGAGGAAGTTCGTTGCCCGTGGTATGGAGGTTTTCGTGGCACAATCCTACAGCAAGAATCTCGGTCTCTATGCCGAGCGTGTGGGTGCTATCAATGCGATTGTATCCTCTGCAGATGTTGCTGCTAGGTATGCCTTATCAACATCTCTAGAGTTCATATGTGAGCTTTGTCAAAGTCAACACAATTGGGCATTGCGCTGTTCATAGTCTCTAATTGCAGAATCTGATGCTGGATTGTTGTGTGTATCAGGGTTAAGAGCCAGCTGAAGAGGATTGCAAGACCAATGTACTCAAACCCACCTGTTCACGGTGCCCGTATTGTTGCCAACGTTGTTGGCGAGCCAACTATGTTCGACGAGTGGAGAGCAGAGATGCAGATGATGGCTGGCCGTATCAAGACAGTGAGGCAGAGATTGTACGATGAACTTTCTACCAAGGACAAGAGTGGCAAAGATTGGTCTTTCGTTCTCAAGCAAATTGGAATGTTTTCATTTACTGGTCTAAACAAGGCACAGGTATTTGTATTACCATCTCTTCGATTTGCGTGGGCTCCAGGTCCACATTTTCGTACTTGTTGACGCAGTTTATTCTATTGAAACCTCTTTACAAAGCCACTGGTGCCCACGGTTATCTTATTCGAAGGTATTTTGGTTAGCTACATTCGTTTTGTGAGACGTACGTTTACTTCTGCTAACGTTTGTTTGTGGTGGCAGAGTGACAATATGACTGACAAATGGCACGTGTACATGACCAAGGATGGTCGTATTTCACTTGCTGGACTCAACTTGGCAAAGTGTGCTTACTTGGCCGATGCTATTATTGACTCTTATTACAACATCCAGTAACTTCATTAGCTGACTTACTTCCTTGGAGAGGACATTCTCGATCTTATAATATGGTTCCTAAATGAAGTCTTTCTTGCGTTCAAAAGTTGGGAATTTAGTTTTCACATTTTTTGCACCTAGATTCTGTGTAGTGGATAGAGAGAGATTGACCCTGCCGAGTGTGTTGGTTTCCGCCCAGATTGAGAAAAGGACTTGAGTGTCCAGTAGAATTGAGCGGCAATTTCGACAAATTTGGCACTTATTGCTCAGGAAGTGCTGAACCAGGAGAGTCCAGCTGGCTTGTTCTTTGATTGGCTGCTGGAGTAGCCTTTTTAATGGGTATCATGTAGTGACATTTTGATTGCTTTGTGAGAGTCTATCCACATGTCTCTGTTTTTGGTGAAGTGGCACACCTTCTGGTCTTATGGCTCAGGGATCTTAAACAAGTCTCGAAAGAGGAAGCCATCAGTCCCTTTTCGTCCCTGGAACGTGCATACAGAAAATCTTGCTTCCTGGAACCCCTCTTCAGCAGTGCATTTTGAAAGAGGATCGAGAAGATGGGTTCTGTGAACGGAGACACTGACAACACGGAAGTTTATTATTGTTAACACATTCACTCACTTGTGATCATACTGCTTGCAGCGCTGCTTGTGCAATCTCATACCTTTAGTGCCCAGGTTTGCAATCTCCCTAAACAGTGGTAATAGACCCATTCTCTACCACCCCCTTTTTTGCACCACCCCCCATTTTCGACCTATTGGGTGTTGTATTTCTGATCAACTTGATAATACTGATTAGTTTTAGTTATCACACGTTATGGTTTCACATTTCTTAATCCACATTTTGCATCAACTCCAAGTCAACTCCAAGTCGCCAGCCATTGGGTAAAAAACTAAGAATTTTATGCCAACTCATAGAATTTATTGGGAAATCAAGCATTTTCGATATTGTAACGAACCATTGGTTGGCTTGTATGACGGATCTGAGTTGAGGAGAATCTTCACCTGAAACATTAATATAAATCTCGTCTTTAGACTAATTGAAAATGTGAAAACATCTGGAATCCTATTGGTTTCTGCACAGCGTTATTTTTAAAAAAATTTCATATACTTCCGGCAGATATGCTAAAGTGCTTAATGGATTGGCTATCTTAATGTATCTAGAAATACCTCAATCTTACACAACTGCAGACGACCTAGAAATTCGATAATCGAGAACCTCGAGTTGATCAAGTATATGGAATGTGTTTTTCAATCTCAGCACTCCAACAATGGCCTTGATTGTCGCGGCCTGTACTCTTACGGTTCTGAACAAGTGCACTGTGCAGTACATCCATCTCCCTTATGTACTCCTCGATGTCGCAACAGAGAATGCTCTGAAAACAGTGAGAGCAGAAGCAAAATGGTGGAGCCAATTCAATAGGTTCGATTTATCCTGAATCATTCTACACTTTGAGCCTGTACCGCATTGTGTATACTACGCGTACCACAAGCCACGTAAAGACCATTCCCTTCGTGGTTACCACAGCTTCTTCTCATCATTACAGGATTCAGCCACTTCTTTCCTACGAAGTTGAAACTCATGTCCCAAACTCTCTAAGTTAAGTTCCGTCCAACACCGACACTCGTCATACTCAAGCCACTGTCACGTTGATTCTGCAGAACAGATGGATGCAGGGTAGCTGCCTCAGCTAATATATTGGTGGTTGGGCAATTAGATAAGATTTAGGATTTATTGAAAAAAATTGGATTTTTTTGAGGGGAATGTTAAATAGACACAGATTTTTATTAAACTGGTCCATACATGGAAGAATATGGTAATTATGATGAATGTGGTTTGTTTTCATGGTTTTGGAGAAATGAATCTAGAGATCATTTTTTTGTTCATCATGGTTTGAATGGGTGGGTCAAATTAGTAAAAGCCTAGGTCTATTTAACATTTTCTTTTTTTTATTCCAATATTAGGCATTTTTTTATTCTATAATTTTATCACGTTTTCCAATTTAATTTTAGTAATAATGATGAAACTCTTAGTTTGATGTAGGGATTGAACTTGGCTTTGGCTTGCAATTGGATTACTAACTAATTTGAAGTTGCAAGTGGAGATTAGCAATCAAAAAAATTGTGTTATCTAAGGAATCAAATTTGATTCATAGAACTATATTTTATCTTTAAAATTATCACTTGCTTATAGTATTACCACATGTCTAAAATAACTAAATTGTTGCTAAATTTGACATGTGAAATTTTTCAGAATATGAACCACATTCAATCTTCTTCATATCCACCTCAAAGTTTTGTTTTGCTTTCAATTTTATTTGTTAATAATTAATCAATCATCTTAATTTACTATTGGTTTTGTTTTTTTGTTTTTTTTTTCTTGGATAATAATATAGATTTTATTCAAGCATTTAATTTTTTAGAATAACTCTTACAAGGAGTTTACAAAATAATTAACAAATCCAAATTTGAGCTCTATTCTAAGTCTATAGATTACTATGCACAAATATTTTTAGCATGCTACTCTAAAAATTAGAGATGTTATACAAGAACAAGAATATTGCATGGATTTTGTTAATTTTTATTACTTTCTAATCTACTTAGACCTTACATACAAGTATAGACTACAAATTGGAAAGAAGCATTTAAAGTAAAATTAGTAATAGTTATAATCTTAAAATGACTAACATTTAATATAAATGTTTATGGTGTAGTATCTTAATATGGTATTCAAAAATCTACATTAAGTACCTACCTATCATTTATTAAGAAAAAATTATTATTAAAAGATAAGTTGTTTTTAAAGTTTGTTGATTATCCTCAAGATCAAAGAATGTTAGATAAAATTAGCAATTTTAATGTAGTAACAAATATTGACCTAATGTATGGTGATATAAATAGCATCTATATTAAACTTTATGAAGCACATAAATTGACTCTCAATTTTGTTGATTATTGGAATGAACATTATTATAGTACTACTTAATAAGTTTGTGATTCTTAATTGTTCTTTTAAAATATTTTTGCACCAGATAATATAGATGATTCAATATATTTTAAAACATCATCTTTATAAAAACCATTTATGCAAAAAAAAAAAAAAATACAAAAAAATACAAAAATTAGTAATTTATTTAGATAGAGTATTGGTGAAACCATTCATTGTAGTGATTCGATTCGTCTACTTCTTACAAATGTTAAAGCTTTTACATAAGATGGAATAGTAATTTTGGAAAAATAGATACTATAAGATATTATATAGTAGTTGTATTAGACTTCTTTTTTCTTTTTTTGTAATCAAAGAATAAATGCAAATTCTATAATATCATTATTCTATGTTTCATGTGCAACTTAATTAATATTGTTGTGTATTACAAAACTTGCAAAGATATACAATAAAGACTAACATTTTTATTAACTCACCTATAATGACTTCAACATTAACCATCCACCACAAGAATGAAATAGTAAAGCAAATCTTGTAATTAAGGTCATAGAAGGATTATTCAAACGTGTAAAAACCATTCCATAGTATTATTATCATCATTTTGATGCTTAGTTTTGGTAATTTGATATTGTTGAATTAATACGATAAACATAGGATAACAGAAGGTTTTACACATAAAAGAAACCACATTCCAAATATCATAAACATACTTCTCATAAACATAAGATCCAGCCCCCTCACTGCCGCCTTTGAAGTTGCAAGCTAGCTACAACCTTATTTACTTCCGCATGCTGTTTCTTCCCCACATAACTTTACAGAGAATGCATGAGTTGGGTATAATACTCCCTCAAACATGTCAACCCACAGAATGGACACTGGAAGTTACAAGAATGGTTGCAGCAAGAGAGGGGCAGAGCAGGAGAGAAACCCTAATGGAGTCCGGCAGTTTTGGAAAGAGGTCTGAATTCCAGAATAACATGTTCTTTCAAAAAGTGGCCCGAGCCATTACAATCCCACTTGTTCCATGCTGGCAACTCAAATCCGCGGAGAAAGTGACCTACCTCTTGTTGAGCAATGCCTGCTTATGATTTCATGGCCGTAGTAAGAGCTCAATACTGCAGCATAAGTGTGCTACTAGAGTTTCTAGGAAGAAAAATTCATGAAACAAAATTTATGTATTTGAGAGCCATGATATCTCAAATTGCAAGACTGCAAATTTGAATTCATGTTGGCCAATGCCGTCCAGAACTTGTCTTAAAACATGCAATAAAACGTCTTACAAAGCTCTACTCAGAACAAGTTAGTTACCACGGACTTAAGCTGCAACTATTCTAAGAACTCATGAGAGTCTCGAATCGGTTTCACGAAGGTGTTCATTACTCTCACCACTGAACATACTAACCAAATCAGAAACTAACAAAGCTTTACAAAACGTTCGGTGTTATCCATAAAAGAAACTGAAGATCATGTATACATTCATGTCTGTATAGAGGGAGCACCTTCTGAAGCAAGGTCCCGCGTGTCAAAACAAAATCTAGTATGAAACAAGGTCAACATGGACTTCCTGCTTGCGGTTCTTGAACTGGAAGGGGCTGCTGTAGCCGGCATATGTAACGGTGGATTCATTATACTTGAGCCCATCCTTATCCAAAGCTTTCTTCAGCTCTTCGAACTTAGCTTCGTAGTCCTTGTTGGTGGGAAATCCTCCGAAGGGGCCGATCACGGCCGTCACAGCTTTTTCGGGCTCGTAAAAGTGAACCTTGGGATCTGATGGAGTGGGCAGATCGTTCACCGACTTGAACCTAGTATATAGCCAATGACACAACATTGATTAATCTTAGCATGTGATGTAGGGCGATAATCTTCAGTGATTTCAAGGGCTTGAGGAAATTGACATAAGTTAATGTAAGAAAACGATTGTTTACCTGCTGGGCACGAAGAATGCAACCTTGTAGCCGTTGGCATCAGGGGTAGGTTTGATGTGCACTGGGCCAGTCATTTCAATCTTCATGTTTTTCGAGTTCTTGCCAGAGATGAAATTGAAGCAGCGGTAGAACCCGGTGAAAGATGCCATTTCAAAGGTTGAATTCGGAACCAATGTCTCCACCCAGATCTGACAATAGCATGCTAAATCAAATCAGTACCACCATTTCTATCACCACCAAGTATATTGCTATGCGGATTCAAAAACAATTCACATTCTAAAGCTCGATTCGCCGTAACAATATGCCGTTGGTTTCGTCAATCAACAAACGTGGCAATACAAAGTTATCTTCGCACCCGCGTCCGAGAATCTACGCCCTACCACTTTCACAGATGTAAAAGCCATAACTCAAATTGTGAAACCCCAAGAGCGCCACTCACTTCTTTGACGTTGTAGTCACGAAGCTCGTACGTGTCCCTCTTTTCCACCACTGAGCATTGCGGCGTCTCAATGCTCACTTGCGGGCCACAAGAATCACTCTCCTTGTCAGAAACTCCAAACAACTGAAGCACTGATTCGGGCAAAGTCCGCGCACCATCCACAACCGTGAGCGCCACGCATGCAAGCAGCACCACCAACATCACCTGCCGAGTCCCCATCTCCTTAAACTGCACTCGCTGTTCAAAACCAAATATAACAATCACCTATCAAGGAAAACTTCGGCTATGGAGCACTCCCCGTGAGTTGATCCTGAGGACTGAAAATGAAAACTTCATCTCCGAAGTAACGTCTTCACGCGAACCTGAACCTGCATTCGGAGGCTGAGAGACCGACAAGTAAGCACCTAGCACTATCCGCCCAACATCTAAGGCGGGGGCAGATTAACGTAGGGTCCAGCTGGAAAAGCAAAGGTTGTGGCTATCTAAAGGCGGCGTTGGCTCGATAGTTTACCACTAATAATGTTTAGCGAGAATTCTTTCTCCAAAACGGACAATTGCTGTGACCACATTCGTCTCAACATATGGAATGGGCATCTGTAAAATGCGGCCGCCGAGAGTGGTTAATGCTTGCTACCTACGTAACTGCCAAACACGCGTTAAAAGTCAAGTCTCTGACAACAACTCAGACATAGAACCCTTCTTAGACAGTTCCAGAAGGGAGACCCAACTTCCAAACCCAATTCGTAGAAGGAGCGCCTAAGCCTTTTGCTTTTGGTTTCCTAAAGTCAGGAAAATGGGTCTGAAGATGCAATCGGGTGACGAATTGTCGTACGATCACTTCCTGATCAACAATAGAGATCCGCAGAGAATGCTGTATGGGTCGATAAAATGGTCAGTCACTTTCATGAGATAAAACCATGATGCTGCAAGTCCGCTCAAGTGGAGAACCCGATTAATACTAAAACCATTACACACCTACTCTGCCTCCCTTCAGTAGAAAACCACAAGATCCAAACATGATGTTGCCTGGAAGTGCTACCTGCGTGAGCAAAGTTTTGTTCCTGTACACCTTTATAAACCGGTTTTTAAATGCTCACAATTCAAATGTAGCATGCTAACGAACAGGACTTGGGTCACATTAATTTCCTGGTCACGGCCTGATGGGCCGAACTAACCAACGACGACTACAGAGAAAATGGAGGCTTTCTCATCAGTGCTGAGCCGAGGGGACGGTACACGCCCTTCAGTATTGCAGCTTTGACAAAAAAAAGTTTTCCTCGCTAGCAGAATTGAATTCCTTTCCTTTTTTCCACTCAATCTACAGTACAAGATTTGTCTGCTCGTGTCTTGAGGGCCTGGGTTGCGTCCCTGATGATGTCCATAAAAGCCCTTGGAAGTAGGGTATAGCAATATATGAATTCGTAATTTTCTAACATACGGTACAGAGAAGGGTTTATTAATCTATTAGATACAATTAATATGAAAACTCCGTGCCTTTAGCCACAATCTGCTTCTTGATCCAGATGGCCATATCTTCAGCACATGACTCCGCTTGTCTTGATTTGACCAACAAATCGAGCGTAGCAAACTCATGAACTGCATCTTTATACTCCAACACTGGCGCATCAACTCCAGCCTTCCTCAGCGCCTCTGCATAGGCAATTGCTCTATCCTTCATCCAGTCAAGCTCCGCGACTACGACCAGAGTAGGGGGCATTTGCTTCAGTAAAGGCTCTCGGGAAGAATTCAGAGGGTTCACCGCAGGATGGTCCAGATCAAACTCCTCGTCAGGTAGAAACAACTTCCAGGCCAACAAACAAGAGGCTTTGTCGTAGAAGTAGGTGTTGGCAAGCTTGATCTCTGAGCGTGTTTGTACTTTTCCTAAGAAAAAAGGATACATCAATGCCTGTGCAACAACTTTCACGGGCTCTATGGAGCTTGCATCTCGGATGGTCATGCGTGTGACATGATCAGCAATGTTTCCCCCAGAACTCACGCCCAATATTATCGTCCTGCAATTACATGTGCAGAATAGGGTCAGAACCTGAACAAACCTGGGACTGCAATCAAATCCAGTGAGTTACAAAAACAAGAGAACAAGACACAACACACATACCGTGAGACGTCCCCATGGGCAGCAATCCAAGGCTCCAAAGCGGAATCTCCAAACGAGTCTACCAACTCCTTGTATGAATCCGAACCCTTGTACATGAACCCCGCAGGGATATACGTTGCACTTTTACTACATTCCGCTAAGTTTGCCTGCTTTGCTAACCAATGCAAAGCCTCGAAACCATCTTCATAAGCGGCGGGGCATTTGTGCTCCAAAGCCAGCCTGTAACCCACTGCTATCACAATCACATTACAAGCCTTTGCCATGCGTCTGCAGAAGATGTCATTTGCACTAGAATCCTTCGACCCTGTCACAAATGCTCCTCCGTGAAATTGGATCATTACGGGGAGTTTCTTGTGATTCTTCTCAGAATTTGATGGCACGTATCCTTGGTATCCATGTGCTTGTCCATGTCCGTCTGAAGGTCTTACATCCAGCTGCTGACTGTTACTTTCCCATCCAGATTCGTCAATACTTTCGATCTTGCCAAGGAAGACGGCCCGGGAGTGATTGGGAAGAGCAGATTGGGGGAGAAAAATGCGAAGGGAGAGGGAAGTGAAGGGATCTATATTAACATCCTTGGTAGCCACACCATCGACGAATGAGGCATTTGCTGGAGTGGACACATTTGATCCGAGTGAGATCAGCCCATATCCGTCATTGTTTGGAGCACCCGTGTTGGACAGCCTCTGTTTCAAGAGAAACTTGAAAAACACACTGTACAGCTTAACCCCAACACCGGGCATTTCTGCCTATTCTACGTCGCAGTCCTCCTAATCCGTAACAAGTTTCGAACAGCACCCCAGAACCGCTCGAATCCAATATCACAACATGCACTCTAATCCGATGATGGTAATTCTACTGCCGCATTCAAGATTCACAACAGGCTTTACTATTCCAACACTGCATAGGCCACCAGACCCCGCAGCAACCAACGAACGTTAGATTTCTACCCAGAAATTTGCAGTCTACTTAAATGGAAACAAAGATCGGTCGAACTTATGAGGAGGAGAAAACAACAACAATAATAATGATGATAATAATAATAATAATAATAATAATAAATAGAGGAGTCACGGAAGCGAAAACTGTATCACAACGCAGAGTCGTCGATGCAGAAACTACTCTTCCACATCAAATCCACTAAACGCGTAAGCCTACAGAAAAACTAGAATCTCTAAGCCGACCCGCAATCAACCCTAGAACCCACAAACATAAAAATCATACCCGCTGTCACCAACCGCAAAGACCCTCACAAAGGTCCGCTTGCGAGCCACCATCCCACCCACTAGGCCATTTTCTCCATCGTCTCAATCCCCAACGCTCCCACTCACCATCGCACTTCTTCTCCAAGCTCCTCTACAAGGATTTCTCAACACACAGATCCCACCCAACAAAAACTACTCCAAATAACCGAGATCTAAAGCACCAGACAAAGAGGGTGGGTGCTGGATGGATGGAGGGAGGGAGGGAAGGAGGATCAATAATGCAGTAGAGGAAGGTAGAGTGCGAAGATCTTGAGACTAAGTGAAACAGAGATGGGAAAGAGGAAAGAGAGACGGGAGGAGGAATCAGTGTGAGATGCGTCAAGGTTGAGGGAAGGTCTAAGCCTGGAAGCTGCCCGCGAAACCCATCCCCTTAAGCTGCTGCTGGGCTGCCTAGCTCTACGTAACTAGGTTTGAACTTGCGCTATTGATTGACCAACCAACCAACGGAAAATTGCGGGAGATTGCAACAGTAGATTGATTGCACAGGACAGAGGGTCTAGAAGCAAATTTTTGCGAGCGAGCGAGCGAGCGAGGGACCGAGGAAGGTGGGCTCGGAACTCCCGCCTGGTCTTGGAACTCTCGGTCTTAGGTTCACTGGATTCTCGGTCTTAGGGAGCTCGAGTCCCCTTCGCCGAGTGAAATCTGATGACGTGTTGGACGAATGAAGCTCACTAGTTACAGAAATCATCCATTTCCGCGGATTTGCCCTCTCCATTGGGCGCTTACCGGGTTAAGCCGTGAGCAGGTTGATACCTTGGGTTGATGTTGTCCAGGTTTAGGGTTTAATGCAACACAATGTATTGAGTTAAAGTACTTTTAACTTGATTAGTTGAAAAATGGTGGGATTAGTAATTTAAGACCCTAGTATTTCGGATCGAGTTTTTATATGAAGCAGTACTTTATTTTTAAGTGGGTGTTTTTCTAACGACCTAAAATGTTTGTTTGCAAACTAAAGATTGTAACAATTCTCTGTAGATGTAAATAATAGGAAAATCATATCATCTTCTTGTGCTTTAAAAAATTCGGATTTTTAAATTTTATGTTTGTATGTGTTTATGTAGGTATTGTTAAAAACCACCACAATAAATTATTTTTTGGTACTTATCAACAACAAACCTTTTGATTTCCACCAACTGATCAAAATTCTCAATAAGATTAGATATAGAGCATTGCAACATTAACTTACCCTTTGTGGTGATTAGAGCATGGAGGTGCAAGATACTAGTAAAAAGGATTTGATGGTACCAAAAAAAATATAAATCTTTTGTAAAACTTTCAAATATAATATACTTTTTAAATACTTCTTCAATATTTTGTTTACAAAATGCCAATTATTTTCAAAATAAAAACATTCAAAATTAAATTTAAAATGGTGACGGCAACAAAATAAAAGAAGAAGAAGAAGAAGAAGCAAAAAATAAAAAAATTAAAAATTAAAAATTAACCAAACTCCACATTGCAGTTACTGGCAGAATATGAAAATTATACAGTAAAATAATTATAGTACTTACATGTAATGACCAAAATACCCATTTGTAATAAATATTATCTTCTTTAATATTTATAATAATATGCTTGATAAATCAGATTATTTTTTTCTTTTTTCTTTTTGAAATTACTATAATTTTCTTATCCAATTCAATGCAGCAGATAAATGTTAAAATATGAAGTTTTGTTTTTGAATTTTTGAACGTGAAAGTAAAAAATAGGTATGCAACTAACTATTGTGGCACAAATACACAAACAATACTCATCAGTAAACACAGTTACTTATAATCCTTAATCATCATTTTCTTTTAAACATAAACTTGAATTGTAAATTTTCACATTTTTAGAAATAGTTACTTCCTTGCTAGTAAATCAAGTCCAATTTTCAATCAAGTAAACGTGAACTGAGGATTTTTGAGAATGTATATTTGGATTTTATTCTATTCTATTATATCTTTCAATTTGACTTCAAAGCATTTTCATTACTTTACTTTCGCTGAGCTTGAACAATAGGCTTAACTTCATGAATGAATGTTTTTCCTCATAGCCACCAATTATAATATGTTATTTTAATAGGTCTTCAAGTTTTTCCTATTTCCAAAACCATTTTAACTTATAAAAGTGCTACTTATATATGGAAATGAAGTATTAATAATATGTATGACATACTCATCAATATGGAAGCTTGACATAGTATTGATGATAAACCAAAGCCACAAGGTGATGGTATCACCAATTGTTCTTCATCTCATTTCAGTTTTAGTTGTGGTGTAACAAAATATACACAAATGGGAGTATGTATGCGCATAAACATATATTGAAGTCTCAGGAATCCCTTTTACTGTTCACATTATTGAGTTATTTGATTTGTGATATACATACCATTAAAATACAAACCTATGTGTATAAAAAGTAAAAATGGTGCTTATGACTTAAAAAAACATATTGGTCTTGTTTAATATTATTTGTGTAGTTGGTTCAAGATCACCCAAATTATTGTTGCTTTAATTTCAGTAACACGTTAGTTTCCATTTTTTTCTTTTTGTCACACATTTGTACATGAGTATATGGTCAAATGTCATATTTATAAAATTAATGAAACCATATGTGAAAGTTTTGTGAGGAATATATATTTGACAGAATATTTTTATAGATGTCAACTAATAAAATTGACTCTTAATATTTAATTTGAAAAATAATAAAATGTTTCCAATTTATGTTAAAACATTTAAGCATGAATTTTCTCGCACTAAGCAAGGTTTTTGACTTGTAACTAAATCTCATTTATATATATATATATATATATATATATATATATAGATAGAACATTCTTTATTGATTTTTAAAAATCTATTTTTAAATCACATAAACTTTACACTTAAGTCATTCAGAATGATTTTTTCTCGAGAGAAATAAAATAGAAATCAATAAATATTTTATGCTGCTTCAAATTTAATGAATTAATTATTAGTTGATTATTTTTTATAAGTTTTATGTTAAACACTTTTTATATTCTTCACACGTCAAATAAAAATAAAAATAAAAATAAAAAACACAAAAAAATATAAAATATAAAAAAACCATTCTTGACACACGTTTTATGTCTTGAATATTATCTTAGTTGGGGGGGTTTCTTCAGGATCACCCAGAAAATCAAACCATTTGTTCGGGAAATTACTTCAAAATGTTTTCCAATTCACTATTTTTTTTTATTATTATTGAATTTGTGCAAAACATCAAAACCTGATCCATTCAAAGCTGTTCCATACCAGAAGAAGCTTTTCTATTTATTGAGGTTCCTCTTGTTGTACCTCATATTCTTAACATCTTCATGTATCAAACTTCAAAAATATCTAAAGCTCGAATATATATATATATATATATATATATATATATAATTTAAATTTATTGAAATTTGATTATTCAGTTTATATTTTTTGAAAAAAATTGAATTACCAGTCTTAAACACATCAATCAGGATATTCAATAATTAAACTGAACTACGAATTTCTAAATTTTATGTTATATAGTTTATATTTGGAATATTTATTATTCTTTTATATGTAATGAAGAAAAAAAGAGATTTTATTTTAATTTTTTTCAGAGTTCTATACACATAACGTTTTCAACTATTTTTTGAATACATACTTAATCATGTTATTGTGAATAATTATTAGTTTATTATCATTATTATTATTGAAACGTATGTGATGAATCTGAAAAAATTAAGAGTGGCTTATTTTTAAATTTTTTACAGATCTAATTGACTCAATTAAATTTTAGAACATTACTGCTTCTCAATTTACAAGTTCTGTTTGTGAAAGATCTTTTAATAAGTGAACATATGATAAATAAATTTATTAATTTCTCATATAGGATCATAGCACAGTTTTAGTATTCAAAATACCCTTCACAGAGTGTTTTTGATTTAATGTCCCAACATGTCTAAAAGACGCAGAATAAAGTGTTGATGTGGAAGAAGACAAAAGGAATTTAATATTTTATGTTATGTAGCTTTATTAGTTTTGTCGTGACATTTTGTTCTTTGTTTTGATTTTTTTGTTTATTTTGCTACATCTTTCATAAAAGCTGCTACATTGTATATATTTGTCCACAAATACAAACATGAATATCGTTTAGCTATTTTATTTACATATCTATTTTTCTGAGTTAGGTTTATGTATACATACCAAAGAATAAGGTGAGAGTTTAATTTTTTTGAAATGTTACATTTTATTTATTTATTTATTATTTTTACTTTGACAAGTTCACTTATTTAAAAAAAATTGTATAAATCCTAAATATTTCAAGATGAGTCATAGAGTGAAAAATGCTTTGCAGATGAGTTGAAGAGTGTGAGGAATTCACAACTTTTAAATGGTTAAGCATTATCTCAATAAGTTTCGATAAATTTCAGTAAATTTAAAGGCACATATATATATATATATATATATATATACATGTGTGTGTGTGTTTAGCCTCCAGCACCCCATTTTGTATTTTTTTGAATTAATTTCCAATTGTATTTCAATTCTTTTTAACTGACTTGGTGCCCAATCAGCCCCAAGTCTAGTTCAAAGCCACGTCATTCGACCCAAAACCAATCACATGCCACCACGGCGAGAGTAAAATCCATCCGTCCACCAGGTGTCGGGGAATCTACGGCCACGATTGTGACCACCTGCTCGACCAATGCGCCTCACCAGTCACGATGCAAAAAATCCACCAGCGCCGCGGATTTGGGATCCAATCGGTGACCGGTAGCCGCAGCCGCCGGGTGACAAGTCACCAAAAGCATCTTCCCTCAAACGTTGCGGGACAATTTGATATGATGGCCACTTGGAAGCACGGCACTGCGACACTCACATTTCCTTCGGCGACTTGTTCTCGTGTCGAATCCGCATAAATAAGGTAGATAGATGAATAGACGCCACAGCTCAACAGCCGAGCCATTGCGAATCGACAGAAAGAAGAGTGTAGCGGAACATCTTTTGGAAGTAGTTGTGTGGGTTTCGTCGTAAAGAGGCCAGGAGGGTGAGTATAGACGACGGATTGTTGGGTGTGCGGGGTGTGATTGATCCTCGTGAGGTGATGCGTTGATTACCTCGTCACGTCGAGAAAGTTTCTGGGGGGTTGGAGATCGTGGATGTTGTCATTGGGAAAACCACACGTAGAAATTTTGAGTTTGGAAGAGATTTTCTTTTAAGAGGAAGGCTACTGCAAAGGTGTGCTAAGTTGGTTGGTGAATTTTGACGACGTAGTTCTTCAGGTTCGTTTCTTTGATCAAGCTTGATTGAAATAGAAGGGCTTCGTTTATCGTATTTTGATTGGCTTTGTCCTGTAACAGAGTGAGTATCTCATGATTGCGAGCATTTTTTTTGCAGCCATTGTGTGGCTATGGTTTAATATGAATTTCAGGTGCCGCGGGTAATGTCTTGTATTTTAGAGGATTGTGCTATGCCGAGGTGCTTTCTCACCCGCAATAGCTGTAGGATTGAAGAGGATGGTGCTTTCCACGGGATGAGTCTCATTCGGTGTGGATCTTTGAAGATGGGTTCCTCAGCATTTGGGGAATGTTGGGGTTGCAGGTTTGATTACCTCGCAAGCCGCTTGAAACATCGGGTGGAAGTGGTAGTGAAGTCTGTTTTGGTAACAACCAAGGAGGGCTTCTAGAGGCCGGATTTTTTCGACCAGGAGCTGTAATGTTATTGGGTTATAGAGGCTAGGATTCACAACACACCACTCTAACACACACACACACACAATGGAGCTGGATACGAGAGACGTATCCGCCGGTCCTGCACTAAGTCATTTAGAGAGCTTCAAGTCCCGTGCTTCTTACTTATTTAAAGACAGTCTCAAAATTGCACGTATTGCGTTGGTGGACGTTAGCACTGCAGAATTGTAAGTCTCCTCTTTTACTCACATACTGCCCACGCAAGTACAATATGTATTAGGGCTAATTTGTAGCTTCAAGCTTTTAATGTGCCATTCGTAGAATTGTTGGTTGCTACTCACAATCCCAAGATCTGTATCAAATGTCGAAGATCTTTTGTCTAAGTCTGTTGCTATGGGATAGAATGACGGAGGATGCTACGAATGCTGATGACTGGGGTCCGACAACAAAAGCCATGGCGGATATTTGCAACGCTACGAGCAACTCTGAGGATTATCTGCGAATAGTGCAGGTTCTTCATAAGAGGTATGCGAATCTTTTCATGAAGACTCTTGGTGAATGATGATTGCCAACAACTATGTTCACGTTTCTTCAAAGAAGACTGCATGTTTTTCTTCGTAATACCTCGGGATTGCACACTGATGCACTGTTCTTTAAATGCCAAGGTTTGCGCTTAACACCACAAAGCACTGGCGACAAATCCACAAGTCGTTGATTCTTCTCGAATATCTACTTAGTCATGGCCCCGAGCACTTAGTCGTGGAGTTTCGTCAAGACAGGGGCCGGTTGGAGGAATTTGCACGTTTCGATTACGTGGATTGGACAGGGTAAGCTTTTATTTTGATGAAATCTATAACTTTCATAATTTGACCCGTTACGCGAATAGGGTATTCTTTTTCCAGCTTGTTCCACAGCTTTTGACAACGTGCATTCATTCTCCTGTAGGATTGATAGGGGCTCGCCTATCCAACGAAGAGCCAAACGCATACTCCACTTGCTACGCGACGAAATCGCATACAAGGAGGAGCGCGCACGAGCTCAGAAAATCTCTCGAGGCATTCTCGGGTTCGGCAGCCAATCGTTCTACCACAGATCTCGTCCGGAATCTCTCGACACCTTTCCTTACAGCAGATCAACGTCTTCAATCCCAGAAAAGCATGACCCATCGTTACAGATTGTTCGTGACAAGCACAAATCCAGCAGTGGAAGCAGCACGCCAGTCACATACTTGAAAGGCGATATATCATCGCCGGAGTGGCGAAACTCAGCTGCCAATTCGCCAACATCGGTCTTGCCATTCAACAGCGATTCACCTATTCACGACATGATCAGATTCGACGATGAAATGCAACCGTCGACTCCTCGCGAAGTGAACCCAGTAGCCACAACTCCTCCTTACTCGGACGCGAACGCATCGCCGCGGCTCCGGAAGCTGCCGCCGCCGCCGCCAGTGGCAGTGTACAAATGCGTGACGGCAGCGCCACAAAATGCCTCGCGGGTGCGGCAGACCACACCGCGGAGCCCTAAACCCGTGCCTGCTTTGCCAGACTTGATCGCCATTTAATTGTGAGAAAATCAAAAAAACTTTATAGAATGCTTCCTGATAATTCCTCTACGCGGCTCCACTTGTACATATTTGAATCTATTAGACGTGATGCTTCTTTGCCTCAAGCACTGATTGCAACGAAGGTCCATTGTAAGATGACCCCACATCATAAATATATCTATATATCTATCAATCAATTATTCATATCATGTCATATTCTATTTATTTGTGTTTTTTGGGTGTTGGGCTTTTTCCTTAAATTTTATTTGTCTTTGAATTCTAGAGTGAGTGGAACTGCCTCCTAACTGTCTGCTGAAAAAAATTAGAAAGAATGTTATACATATATACAAATTGGGTGTTGCTACTGTTACTGCAATTTTTGTTATTGCCACAACATTTTATTCTAAATTATTATTATTATTATTATTATTATTTAATAAAATAAAAAATATTTTTTATGAATTTTGGAAAAAAAACGTATAACTATTAACAAAACTCTTAATTGAAATAGAAAAAAAATAAGGAAATATGCCAAGTACATAGTGGATTGTGATGATAGTAACAAAAATTGTGGTGACATTATCATTACCGTATATATTTACACACACAAAACTTAAAGATGAGTTTGAAATAATAAGTAAAGAATATTGTTAATGCCACCACATTTTTACTATTGCTATAACAATCTTAGTTAAAATCAAATTTTTCCACATTAAAGTCATGTTTAATTGTGTTTTTTCTTATTAACATACATTAGGAAATTTTCCTACTCTTGTTAAGTACATCAATGTATAATATTTCACAATTTTTTTTAAAAAATAAATTTAAAATATAATTTATATATTTTTTATTAGATCAAATTTATATTTATATTTATATACTACCATATGGTTTATCATTTATTAACTTTTGTTTGTGAATAAAGTAATAATCACATTATTTTATTTAATTTGTATCTTAATTAAAACATGTATTAAGCAAAAGATATATTAGATAGTAAATTAAAATTCATTAGTATATAAATATCTAAATTAACAGAATATTTTTATCCCTTTGAATTTTGTAATTTTATTTTATATTGAAAACAAATGCAACATGTTCTTATAATGGTTTTATAATTCAAAGAAATACTCTATTGTGCATATAGACAAAGAAAAATTACATTCAAATTTCATAAAAAATTCTTCTATTTTTTAATATTTAAAGTTACTATTATAAATATTAGTTTGATGGTAGTTTCACAACAAGGTTGTTGAAATTTATTAAATCATATTAAGACATTTGAATCATAAATTGAGTTCAAAAATTAACTTACTTATTTAAAATATGAATTAATATATTAAAAACTTTTGCTTTTCAATTGGTGCTTATTAATACATAAAAGCTCAAAAAGATACATATATTACAAATATATTAAAAGAAATAACAAATACACCTAGGTTTTTACTAAATCAATTCATTCATGATAAAGAATATGGTAATTATGATGAATGTGGTTGATTTTCATTGATTTTTGATCTAATATTGGAAAAATGGTTTAGATGTTAATTTATTATTTTTCATAATAGTTAGGATGGGTGGATAAATTTAGTAAAAATCTTGGTCTATTTAACATTCTCATATATTAAGCATTGTATTTGTCATATCAATAATAAATATAGGGAGTTGTTAAAGCCACACCCTCCATTGCCATTAAATGATTCATTCTATATGTATTCCTTGTCTCCAACCTTGTTCCTAACTTCCATTTTCTGTTCCTAATTTAACCTCCATTCTCTATCTCCATACAATTTTGACCCCAATATCTCACCTCCTTCCCTCTCCTTCTTCATCTCCACTCCATGTTAAGGACATTAACCTCAAAGAACTAAAATGTCAATATACTCTTGTGTCACTTGGAAAGACTAGAATGGCTATTGCCAAATATAAGAAGACTATAAAGTCTTAAAACAAGACTATAGACTAGAAAAGCATTGGCAAGAGTGAAGAAGGCTTCACTCTTGCCTTCATATTTACTCTTAATTAAGAGTCACATAGCAATGTCTTATAAGACCTCCTAAACTTGTTGATTTTACAAGGCACATATCTTAACTTGCAAAACAAGTTTTCTATATGTAAACCACAAAGTTAGCTTGTTTTGCAAGCTACCAACTTTTTATTAACTTATTAACCAAGTTTCTAACCTATCAATTAACTACAAACACATGTAAAGTAAAAGTAACATGTATGAAGATTCTAAAAAGCTTCTTTAGAAAATATTATGAAATAAATCTACTTTTACGTAATTCTTTTTAATCATACAAGTAAATATTAGAATAAATATGTATGTCCATGACACCCTATTTCCATTACTTTTGCATTAAGAAACAAAACTATGCTTACGTGTTACATTTAATAGCTAATACTTCATTAATTTATTATTTATAATATACATATATACATAAGCACATACATACATATATATAAAAATTAAAAATCTTATTTTAAATATTTAAATTTTAAAATAAAATAAAATCTTAGTATTAATTTAAAATTATTAAATATTGTGATTAATAAATATTTAAAAAATCTAATTATTTTAGAATTAAAAATAAAAACTGTATTGTTCAAATTTTTTCTCAGCTACTATTCATATTTAAGGGCATCTCAAAAAAAAATAAATCAAAGTAATTTGATTTAATGAATTTTTTAAATGATATTAATCAATGAAATATGTCTAGTTGATTTGTGGTCTTAGATCTAGAATAAGTTGAGTTACAAAAATCCAAATATAACAAGAATCATAATTATAACTTTTTTAAATTTTTTTATTAATGTTAATTATATCTAAAATTAGACTTTACTTTTAAAATATTGTGACTAAATTAAAAAATATTATTCAATATCACTTACCTTTTGGATAACTTGGATACAGTCAAAATTTTAAATATATAATTTTTTTTTACAATATGTTTTTTTTACAAAATTTGGGTTAAATATACAATATTCTTTAATTTTTTTAAAAAATACTTTTTGAATATTTTCAAAAATATATAATTAAATAAATGTAATCTTCTATATTTGTGATACATCTTTTGTAATTTATTTGAATTGGTTTCTAAGATAACACTTAGGATGTATGAGTTTTGCATAGTAATAAACTTTAGAGAGGGGGTGCAGTGGGGATTGAGGAAGAAGGAGGACAAGGAAATGGGGTTGGGACTACATGGAGACGGGGAAAGGAGGGTCAAGCTGGGAACATAGGACAGGCGCTAGGAATAGAGTTGGGGACAAAAAACAGGTACATAATGAATCATTTAGTGGCAAGGAGGGGTGTGATTTTAACAAAATTGGGATGTGGTTTCAAAAACTCCCATTTATATATATATATATATATATATATATATAAAATGCACTAACAAATTTAAAATTTTACTTAAGATACATAAATTTAAATATTTAATGGAAATACGTATAATGGTAATAATCATTTTAAAATACCAATCTAACAAAATGTGTAAGGTTTTTTTTGTCATCCTCTTTTCATATTTTATTAATTCACTCTTTTGTCCATTATTTAGACATTATGAGGCATTTTTGTGTCTACCACTATTATTATTTGATGCTTTCTTCTTTTCAATTACTATATGCTTTACAACAAGGATGTGAGAACCTTGATTACCTTCATATTTGCAACCTTCTATCCCTGCTCAAATTCAGACTTGCCCACAAATACTAAGTTACTTTACACCCAAAGTAAATTTTACTTTGATCCTGAAGAATTGATTAATTTTTTTTATCATGTAATTTTAAAAAATAAAAATAAAAATAAATTCAGATCATTCCACAATAGTCTATGTAGAAGAAGCCAATTTTTTTGAGATTTAATTACATGCATCATGTACCATTACGTAAACACCAAAGACAAGCCTGAGAAAGTATACAATCGACATTTATTTTGTCTTTTTTTCCTCAAACGACTTTTTTCCCCCGCCCCCTTTTCTCGTGGAAGTGGGCAGGGGTGTGCTGCCCGTCACTTGAAGAAATCGTCGGAGTCGGAGTCGTTGTCGGGGCCTTCGTCGACGAGAACCGGACGAGAATACGTCGGCTGGTCCTCGTCCATCAACACAGCAGGAGGCCGATTCAGCGCCGCTCGCACCACGCCCAGATTCACCCGCGCCGATGCCAAGGTTCTAACATCCTTCGCCTGCCGCGCCATCGCGTAGTAGCTCTGGAAACTCCTCTCCGCTGCTTCCAGATCCCCCACGCGGTAGTACAGCATCCCAATCTTGCACGCGGCCTTGGCCTGACTCCCAGATCCAGCAACCCCACACCAAAAACATTCAGTGTGAGAAGTAGAACAAACCGACGAGAAATAGTGAGGAACGAAGGAATCTATTTTCTGGGATTGATTGAGAGAAATTTGCTGCGAAAGGTTGCGTGGTTTGCTAGCGATGCGGGGTGCTTCACCTTCGTCAGCAGACCCACGCTACCAACAACCTCCAGGTACTTCTCCATGTGAGCCACCGCATCGGAAGCCCGGTCAAGCATCTCGAAGATCTCGGACATGGCTTCGTTGGCTTTGCCTTGGCCAATCTGTGGCACAGTGCGGCCGCCAGCTGAATCAGTTCACACGACACAGCCAATGTGACGCATTCTGAGTCTTTGTGCGTATCTTGAGCAACTAAGATCTGACAACCGGCAGTATCTCAGTGTGTATGTGTGTGCACATGTTTTTATACAGAATTGGATCCACGGGTTCTCGGCTCACCTTATTGTTTGTTGCTACACAATACTGATGGAACTCTGTCAAGTACCCAAGTGCTGTATCAGTGTCCCGGGCGTCGATGTACAGCAAACCCAACTGGTATCTCATTTCTCCAGCCATTTCCCAGTTCTCGGCCAACACGGCTGTCTCCAGCGCCTGAGAATTCCCCGTCCATGTTCATCAATTTACAAATTCATCCAATGGTTCAATTAGAGGAACAGTGTGGATTCATTGCAACAAAAGCACAAATGGAAAGCCATGTCATAAAATGGAATTCCCCTATTACTTGCCATCTGTCCCTTACACTGTCATAGCAATCCCGGCATGCTTTGTATTCTCCATCTTCCTTGAATTTTTCAGCACAGGCTGTATGAATCTGCACTAAAATAAACAGAATGAAGAGATGCAAAAGAACGAATAGCATTTTTAATGGCAGTTTTTCTCATTTCTAATTTCTTTTTTCTCCTGCATGTGAGTTGACGCACCTGGAGGAGGTGCTGGGCAGCTTCACTGGTGCTGGCAACGTCGTCGGCCATCTGGGCCAGTTTGATGAAATGCTCATAGTTTTGAATGGCAAGAGCGCTGTCGTTTAGCTTCCAATACACTCTTCCCAAGGCAAACCGTGCCTGGATCAGTGGCCGAACAAACCCACCCATTCACTCCAACGTTCATCCATCGTGATATCATCATTTATTATAATATGAACCCCCTCCCACCTTGTCTCACAAGCAACACTCCACGGCTGTCACCGACTCACCTTGGCGATGTGCGTTGGGGTTGCGGTTTTCTCCCCTGCCTGCAAGGCCCGGGAGAAGTAGAACAGAGCCTGCTTGTAGTCCTTCACCAATTCGAAGAGATCTGCGATGCCGATGTTGGCTGCGAACATCTTGTCGTAGTCATCTGCGCAGCAGCACAGCTAACAGAGGCAGAGAATGAGAGACCGAACACCCGTTTTGCTTCATTCAATCAGCCGAACAGTGTGCAAATTTTTGTGGTGGCAAAGGGAGTTGGGATTTTCTGAAGGAGTGTGCGTGTTCGTGTGTGTGTGTGGCCCACCTTCGCGAGCACCTATCTCGGCGTTTTCCATGTGAGACTTGAGAGGGATGAGCGTGCTCGCATCCACCAACTATGACCGTGGCATTGAATAAGCCCAGCCCAACCCAACCCAACCCAGTCCAACCCAGTGAGTGAGTGAGTTAGGAAGCTTTAGTTTGTAGAGGGTCTTAAGAAAAGAACAGAGGGGGATTCGGTGATGATACTTGTTTGGCGTCACTAGCAGCTTTGGGGTCCACGTAGTCCGGGGATGCAGGCGGAGGCTGTGGTTGATGCGTCAACTCAAAAAACTCTGCATCACCTCTTGCGGCGCAAATAGAGCCAACTTTTAATGGGAGAGTTCAGTAATCAACAAATCACGCATCGCATTTCCATTTTTTGGTGTGAGGTTACCGATGAAAGCCTTGGGGTAGCCATCCATCAAGAGTTTGACACCCAATTGCTGAAAGGGAGGGACTTTTATGTCAGTCAATCCAGGGTCTGACTTCGTCGTTGCTGCCTCTAACTGGCACCACACAGCACATTACTAATGCATGCATCTCTGTACCCAGAAATGAAGCAAAAACAACAAGGATAATGCGGTCCTGTGGAAATAATAAGAAACTTCATTATTGTGATAGTGTTGCGGAAGAAAATCAGTACACGATGGAGAAAATAAACGTTGAAAGTCGAGACCATACCTCAGCAATTATCCTGGTTTTAAAACCTCGAACTATAGCACTTCCACGCTGTATGGTGGATTTTATTGATGGCACTTTCGAGAACTAAAAAAATTGAAGGATACCCATTCCATACAAACAGAGGAAGAAACCGGTTGGTCAATGATCTTGCAATTCATACGGAATGCTTGGCGTTGAAAAAATACAACGAAATTCTTTGAAAACTTAAAAGCCTTTGAAATTTTAAAATGGAAACTTCACAAGTGCCTTGTTCAATTAGCACCTTGCAGTGATTGTCGCGGAAGAAAACTGATGTATCGATATCTCTTTTTTAAGAGACCATGCTGCAAATATGACTGATTATCCTAAAACAACATACTGAAAGCTGATGACAAAGGTGAAGGAGAAAACTTGCCTTTGGGAGCTTTCGAGGAGCAATTAAAATGCTACCCTTTATACCCCGACCATGTTTTTTCTCCGCCATCTCTGAAAAGATAACAACGTTTTTTTTCAACTCAATCTACACACTAACCTCTCAGTTCGCCTCATGTGGTGATACCTCGCATTCACCCTAGTGAAACCATAATCTGAAATCCCAGAACGATGTAAGCATAGGAAAGCACACCTCGGAGCACGAAACGAACTGCCTGCCAAGTAGTGATTCATGAAACCATGCAAAACCTGTAACCCTAAAATGGCAGAGAAGCCTGCCTTCAGGAGTTTTTGGGAGATCAGCGTCTATGGAGTGGAATCAGCTCTCCTCGCGCACCACCAGAACAAGCTATGTTAATTTCGTTGAACAATTTTGCTGAACTAAATAACTTGGGTTGCCAGGAAAGAATGTTGCTTTGTTGTCAACTATTTTCATCAGAGTTTTCGTGCGGTTGGTGTTTTAGGGGATCTTTGCCCTAAAACAATCGAGTGTGGTATTTTCAAGCATGCTTATGAAGTGGTTCGGCGAGGAGATACAAACATGTATTCCGGTAGTAACCCATATTCAAATAGGATGAGTCAGCCTGCAGTGCTTTCTGTAGTCAATGCTAAGAAAAGTTTTTTTTAGTGTCGGTTGTGTGAGGAGGAAGGTACAATTGCTTGGTATGATATGATTCAGTGCTGGCTGGGTTCAAAAGTGCTCAAATTTTGCGTCTACTTGCTTGGACCCTCTTCCGCTCTACACCTAAAAGAACAGCATGCAAACTTCAGAATTCAATTGGATTAGGATCTTTGCGTCGTTTGCCTCGCAGTGATGAGACGACACTAGTAGGATGGCCATCTTTTCAACAGTGTCTTAGTTACTTTTTATGATCAATCGCTTGTTCCAGTCATCATCATGTAGCTGGTCGATGACCGCGGTCCCGCTGCAATATCAGCTCTCTTTTGCAGAAAGCAAACAGATCAGATTGCTGCCGAAATTGCTTTCATGGCCAGGACAATGTGATTTGCACACTGAACTAAAAGAACCTCTGCTGCAGCACTAGGTTTATATTACCAAGAAAGGCAGCAACAACATATCACATAGAGCTATTGTTCTCTATTAATATTGGTGGTTTAAAATGGTTATTTACCTGGTAAACTTGACCGACAAGCCATTTAAAATTAGCTCCACTTTTCTAGATCCCTGGAAAGAATGCCTTCCGGATGGAAAGAGGGTTCCTTCGGAGTTTCCGATGGATTTGTTGACAAACCGTTGCTTACGGTTTGTCATGGAGGACAGGGATATCTCCCGATTCGATAACACGCATACTAAAAGTTCTTTTGCCAATGCATATCTGGGTGTGTGAATAGAAGAAAAAATACGCCTCACAATACCGTTTTCGAGACGACTAGACTCCGGCAAAGAAGGCAATGGACTCTGATATCAGAACAATGTTACCGAAGCAGAACTTGTGGCATGTTATAATTACAGTGACAGAGCATCTCTACATCTCAGCACAGTGTAGGATACACACTGCATAGTTTTTGCTAATTCTAGGATTTATTACATGCACTCTCATCAAGAATAATTACACACAGGCCACTTACGTTGAAACTCCAGACCTTGGATGAGACGAGGCTGAAGTTTGGAAGGAGTACTTCGGAGTAGGTGGCGTGCTTAACAGTGCAGGTCACAAATCAAGGCCAATCTCCTCTATTGGTACAAGACAATCTCGTTCCTTTCCAAAAGGGGGAAGAAAAAAAAAAAAAAAAAAAAAAGGGTAAAAAAGAACAAACGGCAGGTCCAATTCCTTGATCGTTGGTATTCCCTGTGCAAGATCATTACTGTTCGTAAGAGCAATCGCTGTCTTCTATGCTCAAAAGCACGGTGTCACCTGGTTGCAACTTTGTTACCGCTACGGCTTCACTGCCTGGACGTTGCATTTCGGCAGGAACAACGAGGCGGACTGAATCTGCGTCTTGAAGCATGACACTGAACTGTTCCCCATCAGCCTCCACCACAACGAGAACGAGAGGCTTCGATTCGATCGACACACGACCCACAAGTACCGTGCGGAAATTGCCATTAGCATCTACTGCTAAGACTTGACCTCCAGACTCCAGCTCCGACAAGTACGTGATATGCCCTCTGGCCATACCAGTGTATGCATGGACAGGACCCTGCCATTGACATACAAACAAATGAGGGCGCTCATTAGCACTCAGTTAACTCATTAGAAACAGCGGAATCTTTTTAGGGTAATTGTAGTTCATCAGGAAGAATGTGAGGTGTCGAATTTTCTTACCGCATTGACACGAAATGATCGGCGGCTTGTGTTGTTGAATTGCACCTCAGAATGCACCAGGAACATCCCCTTCGAAAAAGAACCAACCTGCAATCACATGGAACATTTCCACTTGATAAGACGCAACGCAGCATCTATCAGAAGTTGCAACATTTTGCATAAATCTAGCTAGTCCTCGCGCTGCTCGCTGCATGTCTTGGACCTGTAGAAATAAACCAGGGTTTAGGGATTATCAGCTCATTCCAACTTACAAGCAATGCCTCGCCAGGGTTCAACAGATTGCAGAGGTCTACGGACACCCTGTCGCCTTCGCCCACGGAAGTCACACTTTTGACAGTAGCGTTGACAAGCCTCAATCCTTGTGGTGCTGGAGTTGCAGACAAATTTTGCACAGAACAGCTCGGCGACTCTGCTGACCTTGGCGAAGAACCGACCCGATTGAGGGGATTAATGTTTAAACTCGGAGACGAGCCAACCGTGTTCAAAGTATTGGTTTCTGTTCTAGCTACGAGTGTCGGCTCTGGCTTTAGTTTCAGCTCACTCATCTCTTTGACGGGTAATTCTACTGGTGTACCCTCGACGGCGCGATCCTTCTCGATCTTCTTTGCAGCCAGGTAATCCTACATTCACCATTTCAAACTTGAATCAAACACGCGATTACAAACGAGAACTCAGAAGCAAAACACTTGAGGCTTCCGAGGGTATTGGCAGAAAATTATCACAATGTTTACCCTAAGAGCAGTGATTTCGGAGCAGCTGTCTGTGTGGAGAACCACGCCATCCGTGCCGACCTCAAGAGCCTGGAAATACAGAACACACATCGATCAGCGTTGACGTGCACAGCAACTAAAAAGCAAAACTCTCCATGCAATGCATGTACTCAGGCATCCTGTTACAATGGTCATAAAATGCTGCCCTGCAGTTTCCAACGACAGGATCAGTACCTCTAGATACACTTGGGCGTCGGCAGCGGTATTGGCGGTGGCGAAAAGATTAGTGCGGCGACCTTGGAACGCCGCAACTACGTCTTCAGGAGGTATAACTTGCCAGTCCAGGTCGTTGATGACAACCGTCTCAGCTCCGCCCATCATAGCCGGGAGGTAGTCCAGCTGCTCGCCAGAGTATACCTGTCCAAGAAGCGCCACTTGCTTGCCGTCCTCGCTCAGAAACTGCCCTCCTTCCAAGAACAGAGGCTTGATCCACTCTATGGCTGAAAACCTCGCAGCATCGATACATTAAAACAGTGACCAAACCTCAAACCAGCAGCAAGACTCGTAAGCTGTAGTCCTTCATGACTCGAACCGAAAATGTAGCCTACATTTAGATCCAAAGTGTGAACTAAACTTACAGGCCCATTGAGGAGCCACATGTTGAACGTCGGGAGTGAAAACAAACGTCGTCCAGCCAACCTCCACTGCAGTTCGCATCACCTCTTTGCTCCTTGTCCATATCCAAACCGATTTCTGCCAACCCTGGGACGGATTGTGGTTCGGCGGTGACGGCATTCTCGAAAAAGGAGGGGAAGGTAACGAAGTCCTCACCGGTGCATTCGCTGGTGCAAAGGTTCTCCCCGCAGTGGATTGAAAACTGCGTGCAGGTGCAGGGGACAATGGCGCCGGATTTGCATTTTTGTCCAGGGGTCCGGAATGGTTAGGAGAACGCCGAAATTGATCATGGGTGAGCACCGCCGGTATTTTGGACTCGTTGCTACGATCATTGAAGGACTCGGGATTGGAGTTTTCGTGAGAGGGCACAGCAGCAGCTGGTTCGTCTTCTGCCAACCACTTTCGAAGAGCTGGCTTCCGATTAACCATGTTGTACCCTGTTTCGGTCTCAGCTGGAGACACGCGAGGAATTCCCACGATCTGATGACTTCCTTTGTGCATGCCCACATCGCCATAGAGTGCTCGCAGTTGGATGGACGATCGGTGTTCAGGAACTTCGTAGGTTTCCTGGTGGCGTTCAATGGACTCTCCAGTGCTTGGCGCCCCCGTTAGCTGATCACTGTCTTGCGTGAGGAAGCCGTCTGTCGATGCAATGTCGTAAGAAGCAGAAGACCCCATCGATCCGCGAGCGTGTGAGCTGCTGGAGAACTGTGATCCCATGGACACTATAGATCCTGATGATGGAGTGGGCTGGATCACAGACCTACTCGAGTTCGGCGGGATGGGAACCAGAGGCGGAAGCTGCTTCGTCACCGAGAAGGACCGGATGGTTTCTACTCCGCCGCTCTGCCGCGACCTCGAAACAAAACACTTCAAATGCTCGATGAAATATTTCTTGTCGCTCTTCATGGTCTTGTCCAGGACGACGTGATAGGCTCCAATGGCCTTGGCTTCATCGACAATGATCGTCCTCGTCGTGTAACCTGCCTTGACATCGAGCTCCAAATTCACCTGCAACGTGCGCACATTGGAATCAATGAACACGAAACCGTTGGAAAGGTGCGTTGCCTATCGAATGCAGCTAAATGGGTCGATGAGCTTACCCCTGCTTTCTCGCACCACTCCCTGACGTGGGGGATTTCCTCGAGCGAATTTCTTTTCAATGTTAGCTCGTGTTGCAGCATAAGTCCATTCGAGCCGATCCAGCTGTTCTTGTCCACCCGAGTTCGGAACCCCATAGGATTGCAAAGATGGGTGAGGATTCCCACGATCTTGAAATTATCCCCGCGGCGAACGACATTGCCTAGCGCCCAGTACACGGGAGCAGTAGTGATCCCCTTGGTGACATCCAAGACAACCAGGACAGAGCCTTGCGGAACGCCGCCAGGCCTGGGTGTATTAGGCTCCTCAATGCTCCTCGCTCCTGAGCATTGCATTTTTATCAGACTCTCCAACGACATTTCCTCGTACAAATCTGTCGGGTCTAGAGGGGGATGTACACAACCGGTGAATAAACTGGAGGAGGCCAGCTTGACAGCGGAGTCTGTTCAAGTGGTTTGCCGTCTATTGAACGGTAATGTTGTAGAAGTATGTTTACGCGTTGGCGTCGGACTATGATTCACCATTATTTCAGAAATATCTTCGAACTGTGTCGGGTCCTACTGCATCACATTATCGCTACGACTACGGAAGAATGAACAGTTCTCAATCTTCTCAGGACAAGTGAAAACCTGTGCGAAATCCCCTGAGGCAGTCAGGTCCGATCCCTGAGAAGACTGGGTTTCAATCTAGCATGATAAATCTGCAACTCTATGAATGATCTCCTGTCACGACGAGTATTTAAAGAATCCGCCTCTACAATGCGGTCTACTACCTCTCGGAAACTAACACAACTCGCAGGACGAGTTTGATATCCTGAAAGTTCCCTCACTGCAACAATGACAAGCATTGATCACTAAGTGAAAAGGGAGTGTACAAGAGGAAAAGAGAAGAGGAGTCTGCGAGCGGACCACTAGCACTATGAACGGTTGAATCGTTTAGCAAGCTCATCCTAGCATAGCAGACAATGTGCTCTACAGCATTGCAAATGTCGATCCGTATTACACGTCCGGAGCTTACTGCAACAAGTTCACATGTGCTTGACTAACAGCATTAAGCGAGAGTAGCGCATCTGTGCAAAAATCCACACCAGCTACAAGACAAAAGTCGTACCATGTCGTACCGATCCCATGAATGCCAAACCTCACGGAGAGATTTCTGCGGAGGGTTTATCGATCGAGATCTTTGGGGGTTTGAGGCAAGCCCTGATTGTCGAGGAAATTCTCACGATCACTTGGGCGAAAAAATGCAGCACCCACTCGTGAAATCTGCAGTCCGCCTAACTCTCTCCAATTCCATGCTTCACGGAGAATCCAGATTCATTGAACAATGCACGCGCTCAACAGGACCCTACAGTCGCCACCAAATACACCGAGCATGTAGTTGCAGTCATTCGGGAGCATTTCGTGATGTAAAGCATGAAATTGAGACACATGAGCAGAATCATTTCCTTGTCTTTTGGAAGGATCAAAAGCCGTTCGATGTGTAAATGCAGAGGCCAGCCTCGGAAGCGGTGCACAATCCGAATAATATGCTCGAACGCGCTGTTCTCGTTCGTTCTATTAACAACTCGGCATCTGGTGACAACTTCATCCGTCCGTAGCTAAAAAGGGGGGTGAGTGCTGCAGCGCTCCAAGTCATCAAGTGGGAGATCGGTGGCGCGAAAAAGCGCCGGTCGATGTATATTCATAGCACATCCGATGCGATCCTAGGACTATCCTTGCATCTCTATCTCTAAACAAACACTCGCCAGTTGTGCAAGGACGTGCCTGATGCTCTTGTGCCATCACATCCGCAGAGTACTTGCGCTTTCCTCGAATTTCATGCTTCGCACTGCTTAATCCTTCATCGAGATAGTTACCTTTCCCGTCGACGAGAGCATGGCATTTGCGGCGCCGCGGGCACTGAACCAGTTTGCGACTTCATTGTGGATTATTAATGTCCGGAACGACTTGCTGGTCCGTTTTCACTGAATCAAGAGCTCCGCATTTCCTTTCGAAGTCAACCTTATGAATTGAACCCGAAGTGTCAGACTTTAGAGTTCGGTAATGAAACCGCAGATTGAACATTCGGCTAAAGATTCTCCAGGTGAGGCAATCTTGGCGATCCCCGAGACTTCAAGCGTCTGCAAAAGGTACAGGCCAGCATTTATGTTTTTATTGCAAACCTATGCATGCGTCGACGTCCGAAAAAAGGTTACAGCATAATTAGTATTGTGGCATGGGACTGGACAAATGGCTTCAACCACCGGAGGAGACTTGCAAAGTTTGAGCAAAGAGAGAAATACCCGCACTATCAGGCTGGAGTTTTCAATTCATACTGCATTAATCAAACTTGTTAAAACTAAGATTCCCCGGGTTGAGCTTCACGAACTCACGAGATTCGTGTGATCGTAACGCTGGTCTAGTGGGTGTTTGTCAAAGAAGGGAAGAGATATTCCTACGGACTCACTGCGGAGAACTCGCTCAAGACTGGTTGTGAGCCTCTGCTCTTTTCCCAATTACCTGCATCACTTCATTGTTCTTCTCTAGAACTCGCGAGATATGGTTCCCAGACGGGGAAACCTGACTGTTTCAATGGTAAGACTCCACCTTAGCAGTAAAGATTAGAGTTCCTCCGATGCTGTTAAGCAAGGAACATGAGGCAGATTTTTCACCGACGCGTTTGTTTTTCAAGAAAAGGGCAAAACTTCACCGTCATTAGTCGCAGAATTCAAGTGCTTCACAATCCGAGGCTGGACTCGTGTCTGGTCGTCGATTCAAGCAGTTAACTTGAGCTCCTCTGAAACAACTGCAAGAGTTCACAAACATGTGCCATGCAATACATGAATATATATCCAACTTCAGAAGCCACAGGGTGAGAACATGGTGTTCTGTCTCATGTCCAGATAAAGTGACTCGATGTCAACGAACCCTGAAATCTCTGAACTTCCTTTAAGGCTGCTTTTTTCTTTTTGAATCTTTCCGTCCAAAAGAAAATAAATACACCTCATCAAACTAAGTCTACTTAGTTTAGTGTAAGACAGAAACTAAATCTACTCAGTTTAGTGTATGATGTGCTGCCCATTAATTGATAGACTTGTTTGCATGATAACGAAGAGAATCTGAGGTCGGCGTTTCGGTACAGATGGAGGGTAGCTCAAAGTCAGCGGGTGTAAAAGGAGTAGAATGGGTGGGTGATAGTTTAAGATGTTGAAGTGGAAAGAGTTATATAATCTGTTACATAATAATCAAGATGTAACCAATCTGTAATCAATCGTAACTACTGAAGTGGTGCGGGAGAAGGTAGAAGGTGAAGAGACATGACTCTGCACCAAACTGAAGAGATTAAAGGGTCTGTATTACACCCCTTTGTTAAAACATCTAAATAAAAAAGAAGTTAAATTTATAAAGATATTTATAAATCTTAAAAGGTATCACTACTCCTTATTTTAAATCATAGTGTTGATTTAAATGTAATAAGCTTATACATTAATTGTGTTTAACTGTAAGTAGACTTTTGGTAAGTAAATCTATGTTGACTTTTAGTGAGTAAATTAGCAGCCATGTTCTTGGTAGAAATGTAAATAATTTTTACATTGCTAGAAATAACTCAGCTTTTCTTTAAAATAATTTAGATTGTCCTATATTCAATTTGGTTGTAACATCTTGGATTTTAAGTGAGCTTGATGGCACTTTGATTTTCTAAATATATGATAGTGACACTTGATTGAACATTATTAAGAGCCATTTAGCTTTACTAGGAGCTTATTAAATAATTGTGCACTTATTTTTTGTTGATTTCAATGCAACAGATTTTTTTATTACAACTTATTCAACTTACAATATGTAAGAAGAATTAACTACATTCCAAATAGATGTCTTAAAACTCCACACAAAAATAAATAGAAATAAATTATCTTTAATTAAATAATACATATTTATTTTTAACTATAATTATTATTCTATTGATTATTTATTTTTTACACATCCATTCAACCAATATTCATCTTAATTCTTACAATAGATGTCATCTTGTTTTTTTCATCCACAACATTCATCACATTTAAATTAACAATCTGATCCACTTATTACATTTATTTAAAATAAATAAAATCTATTAACTAAATTATTTGTCCAAATTCAAATTCTATGTCTTTTCTATTCTTTTTATCCATAATGCATTTATACCAACTAACTAATAGACTTTAATCAACCAAGTAAAAAACTAAGGAGATTTGACACTTCTTAATCCATTGATGCATCTTCCTTCACAAAATAACATATTATTTTTGCTACTAAGCTCCAAATTGAGTTTAGCTAGTCTTATTAGAAAGGCAACTTAAAGATGCACCTATCCTTTAAAATTCACCTTCAAATTTATTTAGACATCTCTAATACTACCCCTCAAAGTTGATGCCTTGATTTGTCAAGGCAATACACCATCTTCTACAAAACTAAGCACCATGGCCTTTTCTTTGATTGCTCTTCAATGAGCTTAAGCTTATTAGAATTTGAACTTCAAATGAAACCTTCTTCTAGAAACTAAGCCCTTTCTTTATCTAAGTCCTCTTGATCTTGCCTTCAAAAGTTGTATCTTCAATCAATAGCTTAATTTTGAGACATTACATCCTTAGTCACTGAAACATGTACTGCTATTTCATCCTACCTTTAAAATTATCAAATCTTAGCCCTTTAAAAACTAGATTGTATTAGTTCTTCAATTTTTTTTTTATTGCTACCTAACTTGTAAGTAATATAATGTGGTCTTTTAAAATAGAACTACCAAATTATGTAGACTATATACCATCCTTTACCAAATTGGATGATTCTTTTATATTTAAATACTTTATATTCTGAAATTTAAGGAAAAAAAGAAAAGAAAAGAAAAAGAAAGAGACCAAAACTACTTTAAAAAGCCTAAATAAATTTGGCAAAGTTTTTTGCATTCACAAAAAGAAGAAATCTAGACTATATAAGCCTATGGAACTTTTTATACTATTGCCCTAAGACCTAAGAGTGACAATCATATTTCTACTCTTAAACTTAAAAGAGCCTAAATGAAGATTGATAGACCTAATTGATTCAAAGACATGAAAGGTAAGAACTTGTAAAATATAAATAAATAAGTAAGACATAAATTAAAGATTATAAAAAAAGATGAAAAATTATATATATTTAAGATGAGAATAGAATAGCTATTGCTAAAGACAAAAAACTAAAGATTCTTAAAACTATCATGAAACAAGAAAAGAGTTGATAAGAATAAAGAAGGCTCCACTCTTGCTTCCATATATATATTATCTACTAAAAAACCATGTAGCAATGTCCTATGTGCTTCATGACAAGTATCTAACTTGTAAAATAAGTTTTCAATAGGTATACCACATGGCCATCTTGTAAAACACGTGTCCAACTTTTTAGCCAAGTTTCTAACCTATTGATCACCTACAAACATGTTTAAAATTATATCTATATCTATAGAGCTTCTATAAAGTTTCTCAAAAAGATATAAATAATTCAACTTATTTCTATCTAACTCTACTATTTAACCAAGTAAATAGACTAGTAATTATATCTATAATCATTAAAATTTAAGATCAAGATTGATGGCCATCAAATAAACCATATAATTATTTTTATTATCTAAGCTAACTTCATTATTGTATTTAAAAAATATTTTCTAATAAATATTAAAAACTTACATATTATTATAATTTATGAAGATTACAAATACTTAAATTTAGATTAAAATTCAATTAATTCTAAATTATTAAATATTCTCATATATTATAATTACCAAGTAAATATAATAATAATTTTTTTTTCTTATTAACATTTTAAGTCTAATTTATAATTTTTATTTTTATTTTAATAAAAAAATATCCTTTATAATATATAATTAGATATTTAGTACATTTTAAGAAAACTTGAATTAATTCAATAAAAGTCCAATAATTCTTCTAAGAATTTGAAAGACATTGTATATTTAATTGATAAAATATAACTTATTTAATCTAGTACTAATTAAAGCATACATAAAAAAATATAAATATATATATATATATATATATATATATATATATATATATATTCAAAAAATAATATTCTTGTAGAATTTATTTTTATCTATATTTGAAAAAAATCAACTTTAAATAATTTCTTATGATATTCCCTGGGAGTTTAAATAAGGATATGTGCATGCATATTAAACTTTATAAGCAAAAATTTAATATATATTGTTAAAAAAAATTTGGAATTTTATTTTGTTACTTATAGGTCACTTATGATCTTGATATATTTATATTTACTACAAGTCTAAGAAAAATCATTTTGAATTAAAAGAAAGAACTTATTGAGTTTTTTACAATAATATATGTAGATAATTTTTAATAAATAATGTTTCATCCACAAATATAGCCATAATTATAAATTTAATTTGATTCTGACGTATATAAATATTATTTCAACTTTTATTTATATAAAATTATTTGATAGAAGCAATGAAGTTATTTTTTTGTCCCATAATTTAATTTTTTAATCTATAGAAAGATTTTTTTAATTTTAATTTTTTTTATTTATATTTAAAATCAAGACTTAAAAAAAATTAATTGAAAATGTGATAAGACCTTTTAATAACTCTATAAAATCCTTTTTTTTAAATAGCCATTTAAAAATATTTTATAGACATCCATTTAATTTACAAGCAAGCCATAACAAGTAGCATATTCAATAAGACTATATCATAAGAATAATTTTGATAAGAATAAAAAAATCTTTATGTAATCTACTACTTATTAAAAAAAATTATAGACTAAAAGGAAAGATTTTAATTTAATTATGTCACTTAAAGATCCAATTTTTTTTTTAAATATCTATTTATAATTCATAGTTTTATAATTAAAAGGTAATGTACTTATCTTTGAAGTATTATTTTTATCAAAGATTAAATTTTAACAATGATAAATGATTATTTTCTATAAGAATTTGAATTATTTGAAGCTTATAAATGGCATAAGAAACTATAGATCAAGTTTTTTTTTTAAAATAAATTAAGTGCTACATATTCACAAACTTAATTTATTAATTATTATATCGTAATTATGGTCTATCAAGAGCCTCACAAAGTCTTTAAGGGCAAGTTGGAAAAAATAGTGATTTAAAAGAAGAAGAATATTTAATTTTTGAATGAATTAGATGTGAAGTGCAAGTTGACTTTAAATAAGAATCATATTGATTCATACATGATGGTAAGAAAGGTTATAAAATTTGAAATTCATTTAAAAAAAAAATCTCTAGAACTTGGTTTAGCTGATGATATTTGTATAAGATATATGAGTTGAAAAGGCATACTTAGAGAATTAAATTAATTTCATATTTAAGAAAAAGATTGTAAAAATACATATATAAAAAAAAATATTTGAAATATATAGTAGTTATAAAAAATATTAATTTTGAAATAGATTTAATATAAGATATTTTTAAAATATTAAGAATAATATTTATAAATTTAATAAAAATAATAAGTCATCATAATAGAAGTCATTTCAAGTATCTTAAGATTTTAAAATTTAAAAATCATCTTTACAAAATATAATTCTTTTAATAATAAAAAATCTATTAGATTATACTTATAAACAACAATCTTTCATGCTAAGGGCATATCTCAAAAACCAACAGCAAGTAATTTTATAAGTGATAATTTAATAATGCTTATTGTATATTATAAAAATAATTTTAAATTATTCAAATATTTTGGTAAATTTTAAAGAGTTATATTCATTTTTATATAACTTATTAGAAATCTTTTTGATACATACTTCTATGTTGGACATATATATATATATATATATATATATATATATTAAATAATAATATGCTAGTTTTTTTCTTTACAACATAGCTAAAAAATATGCATAAAATTACTTGTAGAAAAATATTCTATGAATAATTTTAAGTATTTTTTTAGATTTTAATTTCATATATTTTAATGGTCACTTTACTTAAAGTGCCTAAAATTTCCAATTCTTATAAATTTTTTTATAAATTTGAATATTTTAGTTAAAATTTAGAAAATAATAATTATTAAATATAATTATATAATTAAAATTCTTTAGACAAATTTTAAAAACTTAAAATTCTATGATTATGTAG